ACGATACCGAGAGCCAAACACACACGAATCTAACAACTTAGTAATTTCCTCCATTCATCATGTGCCATATTCATAATGCTGCACATAACCGGTTAAACAGCCTGTCCAATGAGACCGAATATGCAAATACAACCTCACACTTGCTAAAGAGGCTGCAGCCCCGAAACTGCTTGCTCATGCAACTGGTGGTGCAAGGGTCTCCACTCGAAGGGGGCTCTCGACACCCCCTGCTTAAAGGGTATTTATTTGGCCTCATACTCTTAGTTCTTTCGGTAAAGTCACGTAGGTAAAAAACTGAAATTAAAATTAATAAAAAATAAAACAATAAAATCACGACGTTTCGGAGGCAACACAAGTCTCCGTCATCAGGTGGGACCGTCACAGCCAGATTTGCTGCATCAAGTGAGGGAGGGATTCAAGATGCAAGCTTTGGTATTTGGCCTACTCCTCCATGCCGACCAGACGCCCGAGAAGAGGTGGAAGTACCCACACTTTACCCCACCACACGTGACCTGCCAATCGATTGATTAACTGTGTACCCATTTATTGCACGCTGCTGGGTGGACAGAGGCTCGTGGGTTATTCAAGGAACTTGCTCCACTGATTCTAGATTTGAAGCTTTCGTGATTGCAAGGATTCATATTCTTAGGTTTTTTCGGTAAAGTCACGTAGGTAAAACATTAAAATTAATAAAAATATTTTTTTTTAAATCACGACGTTTCGGAGGCAACACAAGCTTCCGTCTTCACCTGAAGACGGAAGCTTGTGTTGCCTCTGAAACGTCGTGATTTTAAATGTTTTATTTTTATTAATTTTAATGTTTTACCTACGTGACTTTACCGAAAAAACCTAAGAATATTGCTCCACTGAACCCGACGGCTTATAGACTGCAAGTGCAGTGTGCCAAGCATTACACCACGGCAGCAACCCAAAGCTTGGTATTTAATTGTTATAATTGAGCCAAAATGCTACATTTGGCTTCAGGTTAATGAATCGATGTGCATGACGAAAATATGCTTTACGCATTCTAAGCATGTGTAGATTCTTGGTGCTCAACTGCCTGCCACTTTTGTGACCATAATTTGTGCTGCGGGAAGCAAGGGACAGAGTTCACCCATTCAAGGCCAGTTTTGGCAGACGAGGATAAGCAGAGCCTGTAAACATCCACACAAGCGCCAACTTCGCTTTTTTTAAACCAAGAAAAAAAAAAGAAAATTCCTTAAAATTTAGAGCAACAGGCTGCTCATCGTTTGCCGAGTACATTTTCACAGAAGCAATCCAACTCTTACATTTTTTCCCCCCTGTTTGTAGCATTCTTGCAAGGATGCGTTTCGTTTTTTCGTCGTCTTAGAAAATTAATTCAAGAGCTGCCGCAGATTTCTTTCTTGGCTCTCGGGATAATGCGGCCAAGCGCTGTGGCCCGCGGGAATCATATGAGCACATTAATGGAGGATGGCAACGGCTCGTACGGCAGGTCGGATGAAAGCACCCCCCCCCCTCGCCGCTCCCTTCCTTCCCCCCCAGAGGCCACGATCTCCACGCACGCGTGACACCCGAATCCACCACGCACGAGAACGTCCAAACGAGCGCGTTTCCACGACGCTCGCCGAGTATTCCTGACGCGTCACGTTCACAGCCGCTTGACGCTGATGTAAAAAGTCGAGATATTTTCTCTTCTTGGTTCTTTCGGTAAAGTCACGTAGAAGGGAAATATTAAAATAAGGAAAAATAAAACATAATAAAATAATTCTTAGATGGTCCAGAAATTAAATTAATTTTGGCTGTATTTGAATTTTATTCTCCATGGCGTCATGTCTTGCACTTTTGTCCACAAAACAAGTGATGTCATTTCAACTGATGTGACATTCAATTTCGATTTAAAGCTTTCGTGACTGCAGGGATTAATCTTCTTTGTTCTTTCGGTAAAGTCACGTCGAAGGGAAATGATAAAATAATAAAACATAATCAAATAATTCTCACGACGTTTCGGCCACAACACAAGCAGCCGTCCTCAGGTGAAGAACAGGTCTGTCGGAAAGACAGTGTCTGAATTATGTTTTATTATTTATTATTTTATTACTTCCCTTCTACGTGACTTTACCGAAAGAACCAAGAAGATGAATCCCTGCAGTCACGAAAGCTTTAAATCCAAATTCAAGATATTTTTCTCACAACCTATTTTTTTTCTCTCTCTCTCTGAAAGAGAACGGTAAGGAATTGCAGAAGAAACATAATTTACGTGTTACTTTTTACTTAGATGTTTGTTTGTTGTCATATTTTAAACACAACAGTCCGTTAAAGCTGTAATTCTTCAATGCTAATAATTGTGTTTGCTACTGCAATGTTTTTGTACTCTGCGCTCATGCGACAAGAAATCGTGACTTCCCAAAGAAGTGGTACAAAGGTTTGCTCCCCCTGGAGTGATGATGATTGAGCGAGTTATCACTCAACTGGGCATTGAACCTTAACACAAAAATAACTGTCCACCTGTTTCGCACCTCCGATTAGCATTGTTGGCTACGTACTGTGCAAAAGAAGTTCAATATACATACAGATAGTACTGAGCGAAGACAGACCATGACCAAAATAATTAAATTGAGGCAACTGAATAAAGGTTGAAAACCTCAGAAGGGAAACATTTATCCAAAGCGGGGTCCTAAATGCTTTCAATTACAGGCGAAAAGTACTGTGATGCCATTCACTTGGAGGATATAATATGAATGACGAGTGCAATCTTTTAGTCTGTTGTCGATCCAAAATGCAATGTGTATACCACGACTATCATGGTGTGCGGAGGCCTTAATCCAGTGGAGGTATTGACAGAGGGCTGTAAATGATAGATTTTCTATCAGGAAACCACACCTTTCCTTGAGTAAAGTCCACCACATTATTTGAATTTTGCTCCAAATAATTCGAATTAAGTTAATTTATTGCTTGATGTAACTTCCTATGAGGCCAATAATTCATCCTGAATCTCTTGTTATTTAAGACCAAATCACCCTGAATGTGCTCGATCCCAAGCCGGGTTGAGCCTGGCTAGTGCTTTGATAGAAGACTGCCTGAGAATACCAGATGTTGTAGACTTGAGCTGTGAGCTAGTCAGGAAGTGGCTGTAGAACACTGGAGTCTTGCACCTATCTGTGCAGCGCCTTAAGTAACTCTCTGATTTACACCATTGGAACCTCATTTGCCAGTAAAAAAATATGATAATTGTTTTTTTACCCTTCTATCTGGCAACAAAACTGACACCTTTTTTTTTTACAAGGAGTCATGTTTGCATAGACCACAATACCTGCAGCCATAATGCAAACAAAAAACATAACTCTGATAAAAAAAAAACATAACTCTGATAATAGTGCATATATTATCAGAGTTATGTTTTTTGTTTGCATTATGGCTGCAGGTATTGTGGTCTATGCAAACATGACTCTTTGTAAAAAAGGTGTCAGTTTTGTTGCCAGATAGTAGGGTAAAAAAACAATTATGTTTCACTCCCAGTTCATGAAGAAGCTCCCAATACTTAGAGTGAAATGTCAGACATCATACCGAAAAAACACGCGATACAACCCGAAAACAGATCAGAACTACACAGCACAACTAGAAAAACCTCGGGAGTTGAGCTTTGAGTGCTATCCCCTCGTGTGGAAGTATTTTCTCAGGGTAGTCAGGCTTCTGTTAAATACTCACAAATAGAATTGTTTACGTATGTATTTTACACTTCTTTCGCACCGTACGTAGCCAACCATGCTAATTGGAGGTGTGAATTGGCCAGAAGTCCCAACACAGGACCACACCTGTCAACCCACCTTACTACAGACCAATTCAGACCTTATTGGCCACCCCGTGCCCTTATAAATCTCGACGTTAATCTTATAAAGTCTCATCAGAAAGGAGAAACACAAACCAATATGAGTGTATTTATTTATTATTTGCCCGTATTGAAACGGCTGTATGCGATATGGACCTGAAAACTGAATTTCCCTGCACAACAATACGAGTAAATCGTATGGGTTGACAGGTATGCAGGACTATCCAGATAAATAGTTTTAAGACTTAGTGTGGTGTTCCTGAGTGAAGAGAAATTATTTTTTCTCTCCCTCCCTCTCTTGCCTCTCTCTATACGTTTGCTATGAAGAAAGGCAACTGCCATAAACGTCGCCTATTATATTACTCATCCGTTTAAGGCAAACCTGTCATCAACAAAAGTGTTGGGCGTTTTCGTTTTTTTGTTTAATTCTCATCATAATGTCATCATTAGGAGGAGGAGCAGGAGGAGGAGGACAGAAGCAGCGCTAATTTTTACGTTGTTTTCAATGTCGCGGGTGTTCACACTCCGCCCAGGTACAGCTGCTCAAGAGTCAGAGCCACGACGTTTTGGATGAGAATCACCGTTTGCATCCCTTCCAACAAGGTGACATAAATTGATCGATTGTGCTGACCGCAGACAATTTCAGTACACAGCAGTGCACGGAAACGTGGCTCAGCAGCACCGAGCCGGTAGCCAGTCATTGTGTAGATTCGATACAATTACAACGCAACACATTCGTCAATAACGCTGCCCTCTGATAGGGGGAAATATATGACAGGCAACGTTTCAGGCAATTGCCCTTCTTCTTCAAGGACAGTGTTGTAAAATGTCACCTATTATATATATCTCTTTCCCTTCCCCACCCCATTCAGGGTGGCGTTATGACAAATGTGTTGAGATTTTTCTTATGTACGCTCGTGCACCACTGCCAATGCAGCATCGCGCCACCTCTGTTTTTTGTTCCAACACGATCATTGTACAATAAACCTCCACATAGCCATGACGCAGTTGGGCGCAACTCCATGGATCCTAAATGCAATCTCGCCAAATAAACCACCGGGAACCATTCAGCAGTACGACACTGCCCCACCCCCCCCATAACGTTTCACGGTGTGGCTGCGTCCATTGCCGTGCGCCGGCTGACGATGAAATCTAGCGAGACGCGAGGGGTCGGGGGGCCCCTTCAACTCACCTGCAGTTGGGCGGAGGGTCAAGCGTTATCTCGGCGAGCTCCTTCTGGATCCTGCACGCATTCGCCCATGAAAACAAACTGGGTGAGTTATCAGAATCAGAACATTTATTTATACTGGAGGAATCCGACGAGCTGGATATATACAGATGTTCCAGTTGAGGCGGGTCAGAACGTTACAACAACAAACGGTACAAAAACACGACAGGAGTGCAAAGTATAGCAAAGGTAAGCAAAAACATTTAAATACTAAATTATTTTTATATTACACGGTGAAGCCCACCGAGCTATTAGCTTATTTTTACAAGCGACCTGGCCACAAATGATCGCTCAATGAAGTGGGTTATCATGTGAATGTATAATGTTGCGAATTTTTATTTAAAAAATAAAGGAAATATACTTGTCACCCTGTGAATGACACTGCTTGATATATATTTAGTGGCAGGTAACAAAAAGCTAAATTAGTGGATATATTTGATTACCATGTCAATCGCAAAATGCACGGCATGAACGTAATCAACAAATGCAGCTCTCAGCGTGTAACTGAGCGACAAACGCTCGGGCAGTTAAATACGCGCCATGATTATTACCGTGCATTACGTGTTACGTCAAGTAAACAAGAGCAACACAAGATATGCTACGATCTTTTAAACATGAAAATACCAGGAACCCACTGAAAAACTACAATATTTTTTTCATACTTAGAAGGCGTTAACTCAACATGCCCAAAGGAAAACAGATTAGCAGTGACAGCCAAGCACCAAGAGAAATCTGATCCTTAGCGAATGCGCCTTTGCATTTGGCAAGATTCCAAACAGACCACCCACATCTATTTAAACTACAGACCCTTCTCAATGTTATAGCCTTTTTTCTTGCAGGATTAAATTATTCTTCAATTTAAAAGCCACTTTTGTGCCTACGAGTGTCCACGCTTTAACACACCAGTCCGACGACCAAAACGAAGAGACAATTCCTCAGCAATTTGGCTCTGCATCCATGGCCAACTGGTAGCGACACGGGGGGCGAGCACGGTATCCATTTCAAAATGCACGGCGTGAGCAACTGAAAGCGGACGATGTTACTCGGCCGTTGGGGACACGATTAAATAATCAGTGGTCACCTGTGGCAGTCGAACAACTCTGTCTAGATTTACACAGCGCGGTAATCTAATTCACGCACGACAATTACGGAATTCGTGCCACAATATCTGCATTGACCTTCGGGAGCACCGTCGAATGTGGCGTCACCATATAAAATACGACTCTCTTATATATCACCGTCATTTTAATATGATGACTCTTAACAATTCCTTCTCATGCTGGGGACTGCATAAGCAGTTACACACGTCACGGCACACAATAAATCACTTTCCTTATTTCACTTCAGAGCATTATCCCCTATCCTCGCCTCTAGTCCTGCATAAAAACCTCATCAGCCTCAACCCTTACAATTTGCATTTCTCCTTTCCGCAGCGTAAATTCAAGTGCAATAAATATGATTGTTTAATTAATAATAAAATGCATATTATTCCAAAGTAGGGAGTGTTGGGACAACCCATAAACAAAAAGGAGATGAATCGATTGGTTGTTCAGGCCTTGTAAGGGTAGTACTCTTAGCTTTAGTATCAATGCCCTGCTGTGTAACCTTCATGGACTGCTTATTTTGGACTCAAATGTAATAAATAGGGTGCGAGGAGACGAAAAAAATAAACCTCACTATGTAATGTCCTGTGAGCATGCTGGTAGAAACGTACTGAAAATCAATAGTAGTAAACAAAAAATGATCCCAACCATTTTCAATCCACCGATGAATGAACACACTTTCCCATGCCATGTTGGTCATGTGTTTGTTTTTTATAATCATACTTTACCACACTGGTGGGTTGGTGAAAGGGGCAGGAAGGGGTTAGCTATCGCTCGCCAATGATGTTAGCCGTGGCCGGGGAATTAAAATTCGGGTAGCTAAGTTCATTGCGCAGCGCTCTAACCGCTGCACCACCGCTCCACCCTGGTACCAATGTAAAGACACATGATGGAGGTGAAGAACATCTTGGAAAATTGATGATCAACCATTGGTGTATGAGCTATTAAGAAGCTAACTGATAGATTTGAATGGCTGCCACGAGTGAAATCAGACTTGCGGTGATAACGACATTTAAAGTACAGACGAACTTAATCAGACATTACTTTTGGTCTAAGATGTGTATTTTAGCATTGACAGACATGGAGAAAATTACAAGAACGTTGTCAAATTATGATGCCTGGTACACTGCGAGTGCGTACATCCATAAGTCGGGACGTGCGCAAATCAACACTCGAGTTTTACTTTTGTTGATATTAAAAAAATACCTACCACCACTTTGTATGTTGGCAGCCCAGTGTCCATTCTTATACCAAAACTGTGGAATTTACTCCATAGCAAATGACACAATCTAATGCCTCATCAGCCTTTACGTTTTACATAACATGTAAAGTTGTATGAACACATCCATGATAAGTACTTCCTGTCCTTCCCCCACACCTCTAATTAGCACGGCTGAATACGTACTACGCACAAAAAAAGTTCCAACACACATACAATGACGATAATGTTTTCTTGTTTTTCTTTTCATCATTTCCCGCGATTTTATTCCGATTATGCTTTTGCCGTCATCTCATGAGATAAAGCATTCATTCACATCTCTCGTAAGGTAATGCAACCCTACGATTTAGCGAACGGCCTATGGAAGCAGAAACCACATATCTACTTTTGAGATTCCTTCAAGTGACCTCCGATGTATTAGGTGACATCATTTTTACCCATCCCACCAAGAGACATGTTCATCGCATGACAGTCAACCCTATATATTCGTTTCCTGGAGCTGAAATTTTGGGCAAAATTAAGTGCAGAACCAAATTGAACGTAATATTTTTTGCGCGCTCATTCATGACGAAGATGAAACTACACTTGAGAATCCGGTTTATTTGTAACAAACTCTACGCAATTCTATAGGTCTCTGTGTGAGTCGATGGGTCTTTATGTCAGTCAATGTTAAACCGGGCTGAGACAATCAACTCACTCCACTTGAGAACCCATTTGAATCATGAGCAGTAGCATGAAACCAGGATCCAAACAACCTGGGATGTCAACGGTGCTAACTCAGCACTCCGACCAGTTTTCCACCCAGCCACCTTGACGATGATGACAACTTTCGATTTAAAGCTTTCGTGACTGCAGGGATTCATCTTCTTGGTTCTTTCGGTAAAGTCACGTAGAAGGGAAATAATAAAATAATAAAAATAAAACGTAATAAAATAATTCTCACGACGTTTCGGCCACAACGCTACCTGAGGACGGCTGCTTGCGTTTGTCGTGAGAATAATTTTATTATTTTATTATTTCCCTTCTACGTGACTTTACCGAAAGAACCTTGACGATGATGACAACGACGATCAAAAAGCCACAATCACTCGCCTTTTTGCGCTGGTCGACAGCTTGGCGGCAGTTTTGCCCGGAATCTTGGCCTCCTTCCTCCGCGGCTGGGCAGGCTCGCGCTCCGGCTGGTCAGCGTCCGAGCCTGTGCCGCTTGTGCCAGGGCTGTCTCCGGATCGTTGCTCCCTCTCAGCCGCACTCGACATGGCCTCGTGTCAACGCTGCCGGTGCAACACAACTCGCAAATCAACCCCGCGTCACCCATCCCCCACATTGCTCCACCTCCCCGAAACACACGTCTGGTTTATATTGTTAGGTTTTTTTCGGTAAAGTCACGTAGGTAATTTTTTTTTAATTAAATTAATAAAAGTAAAATAAAAATAAAATAAAAATCACGACGTTTCGGAGGCAACACAAGCTTCCGTCTTCAGGTGGAACCGTCACAGCACGATTGCTTGATACAGCAATTGCTTGATACAGCAATCGTGCTGTGACGGTTCCACCTGAAGACGGAGGCTTGTGTTGCCTCCGAAACGTCGTGATTTTTATTTAATTTTTATTTTACTTTTATTAATTTAAATTTTTTACCTACGTGACTTTACCGAAAAAAACTAAGAATATGAATCCTTGCAGTCACGAAAGCTTCAAATCTAGAATTAACACACGTCTGGGTTTGATCGCCGCCCGCGTAAGGTAAAGCACATGACCGATGAGTGCTACTAGTCCCGATGACCCAATATATGGCCCACAGATGTATGCAGAATGTAAATCGTCATCATCACCAGCCATGATCCACTGCTGGATGAAGGCCTCCCCAAGTCATCGCTATCTCTCACAACCCTGCGGGTTTGATAAATCCAACTAGCACCTCTACATGAGCTGATTTGTATACGTACAGCCCCTCTGCCAGTCCACTGCTGGATGAGGGCCTCCCTCCACCATGCGGGGCCATTGGCGTTATTTCACACTTCTTCACCAGGCTGGCCAATGCGGGTTGGTGAAGGTGGGGAGAATAGACGGTCGATCATAGTACAGTACAACAATGGATTTTGCTGAACTGCTATATGCTGACAATGCAGCCCCACGACAGCCTAAAACACCGGTTTCATGCATGGTGGTCACCCATTCAGGCACTCGCCATTCTCAGCCCTGCTTAGCATAATACAAAATGTGTGGCGAGCATGCAAGGATGAATAACAAAAAGCGATGCAGTTATATTAAGACATAATTCAATAACTAACGCAAAGTAAAGGTTTATACGCTTGTATTCGTGAACCCAGTGTTCTATCCACATACGACACTTCAGTCATTAAACATCATCGCAGGAACAATAATAATTTTCGCAAAATCCCCACCACCAACGTCACACAGATGTTATTTCCCACACTTTCATATTCTCATTAACAGAAAATAAGCAAATCAGAGTACAAAGACACGATTGCCAAGTCCATTAGACATACAGTGTGGGTATTTAGGCAGACGGTAGGCGAAAAAAATAGACTAATCTTCCATATTTCCCATCGGGATGTAAACATGGTTAGCGTGCATCATCCTCACTATAAACGGAGAACTGCTGAGCAGTACAGAGCGACACAAAGGAGCAGTATTCACAGGTCACAGTAACTCCATTGGCATAACATGAAGCGCAGGAACTTTGGAAAAAACTAACAGGCTTTTTGATCCTCGCCAGCAATACTGCAGCCAGTCTGCCATAAATCCTCTCTTTCTTTTGCAAATCCTGCCATCACGCACTCTCAACAGCACCCTCACAACGGAGCGGTTGACCTTCAGTGTTAAATATCAAGGTCTGTGATGATGCGGGTGTGTTAAGTTAATGTCCTTTGGAGTAAACAGACCTTTGGAAGTCACGTTGCATTAAAAAGCATCGTACTGTATACACTATATATGTAGTGTTAAATCTCTGTGGAATCAATCAATGCTCGCCGTGTGGAAAGGCCCAATTTGACCTCTTGCTGAAGATCCCGCGTCGTGTGCCGGATACTTTCCACATTTTACGGTAAAAAGTTGAAGGTGCACCCCTGAAAAATTTGGTGGAAAGGCCTCCACTCCAGGAAGGTGTATTCGGCATACTCTTCCACATTGTCCAGACGTCTTGTTTGGTATGTACGTTGAACTTCTATCGCACCGTACGTAGCCAACCAGTGCTAATCAGAGGTCTTGGAAGAAGAGGTAGGAGTAAACCACACTTTACCCCACCACACGCAAACCTGCCCCGGTCGACTGTGGTGTGCCCATTTATACTGATGGATGTACAAGCAGGATGGAGGGGATTTGATAAATTGTCCAAAGCTGCGAATGCCGTGCAGGAAGATGGAGTCGAACCAGTGACCTCTGGATTGCAAGTCCATGCGGGCTCAGTATTACGCAGCGGCGGCTCCCTGCTCATCATACTTGAGAGATAGAACCGATACAATAGCTGTATGTGATTTCATAATAACAGTAATGCCTTTGTCAATCCATTGCTGGATGAAGGCCTACTCACGCCGTGTCAATCAAAGGGTGTAGTTGACCATATTTCATGACAAGTTCAGATATCATTTGCCTCCGATGTTGCGTTTCTCACTGTGCCACCAACTCTTCCCACCCCATATGATTGATCAGGCTTGGATTATTTAAACGAGGTAAGGAGCCAATTCAGATAACACAGGGAACCAGCAGGACATGCGCACACATGCAAAGCTTATTCAGCATGTTTTGATAGAATGCTTGTCAGAGCATGAGTGCACAGATTATAAATCTGGCTTTAGTAAATTACTTGCCAAAAAGAGAAAAGATGAGTTGCCAACTGTGAAACGAATGCTTATGCCAGCAATGTCAGGTAGAGATCTCTGATACTGCAAAGTTGCTTTTGCATTTTGTCCTCAATCTCTTTCCTCCGTCATGAAAATACAATTGAGATCTCCTTAAACACGTGTAAACATCGCCAGTTTTCAGATAATACAGTCCCATGTTTGTGAGCGTCATGTGAGGCTTGTTGCGGAGATATCAATGACACATATTTGCCTGTAATAGGTCTGGAAATAATATGAAAATAACCAAATCTCACAGCCAGTTCAATTTCATGGTGTGGTGACGGATTTTAGTCGGCAAGGTTGTGTATGCGTCAGCAAATCCTCCTATGATTGTCGTTTGGGAAATTGCATAGAACATGAACGCATCTTAATCCGATTCGGTCATATAAGCCTGTGTATGATTAGCACATTGCAAACAAATGAGCACGTACGGGCAATGCATGATGACCAAATTGCGGTGCACGAAACCACAATGGTTGTGGGTTTATTGGTGTCACCATTAATCTGAGCAGCACACTTTGACAAAATCTGTGGTGTGCACGTCTAAGAGTAAACGATATTTGCTTCACATTTTACAACATTAAAGGTCCTGTCTTGGCGAAGACAGCTGACAAAATAAGCAAGAAGGGCCAAGACACACGGTAGATAATAAACACGTCCAAAGCCTACTGAACAATCCCCTCCTGTGTGCTTCGTGCTCGGTAGAAGAGAACCCATCCCGTGAAGTCTCGCCATGGCCAATGTAATACGTTACACGTAGATCGATAACGTCAAATGCAACCAGGACAGATATTATTTGTTGTTGTTGTTGTTGTTATGTTGTGTTTTAAACCAATGAACTACACTGTGGTTATCCTTCTGTATATCACGAACAGCTGTCGTGGCGAGAAGACCTCGACTAATGGCATTTAGCTGCTGGACATGTTGTTGTTGTTAGCAAGAACATAACGTGAAGCCCTCCTGTGAAATGTGTAATCCGTATGCGTATTTATGCATTTCACGATGGGAAAAGAGAGAGACAGAGAGAGAGATATAGACCACGGATAATCGTGCAAAACACGTAAACGAACCTCGTTCGCAAGCCTCTTTATGAAGAAAAGAAATCCATGCCAACAGAGTATCCATTTCATTTGTTGTTTATGCGTTCAGCTCAAGGACCCTACTACCGAAAGGGCCAATGTTCTGAACCATAAGCGGTGGTGGTCCTTCAGGACAACCCACAACATGTTTGTCCCGAGAAGAATAATAACAATATCAGCAACAACAACACAATAATAACAAACGAGCGAAGCCGAATGGAAGGTGTGACCGACGATGCAAGGGTTAAACTCGCGTTGGTTTTTTAAAGGTTTGGGTCAGCGAGCGAACAAAAGAAACGCACACGGCTGATGCCACCAACACCACCACTAACTAACCACATCCAGCAACTCATCCCTATTCTCTTCGTGATCCAGCAACCCCTTTCCCTATCTCATTCCATGTCGGTTGTCATTTCCCAACACGAATTCACTCACCCAACCCACACTGCATTAAGAAGCACAAGCCCGGCGAGTTCTATCACACACACACTACACACCACACACACACCCCACCCCACACACACACCCCACACACACACCATACACACACCACACACCACCCCACACCACACACACACACACACCACACACACCCACCACACACACACCACACACACACACCCCACACACCACACCACACACCCAACACATACACCCCACACACACACACCACACACACCCCACACACACACCACACACACACACCACACACACACACCACACACACACACCCCACACACCACACCACACACCCAACACATACACCCCACACACACACACCACACACACCCCACACACACACACCACACACACACACCACACACACACACCACACACACCACACACACACACCACAAACACACCCAACACATACACCCCACACACCACACACACCCCACACACACACCACCCCACACCACCCACACACCACACCACACACACCACACCACACACCCACACACCACACCACACACCCACACACAAACCCCACACACACACCCCACACACTACACACACACTACACACACACTACACACACCACAAACCACCCCACACCACACACACACACCACCCCACACACACTCCACACACCACACACCACCGCACACACACTCCACACACCACACACACCACCCCACACCACACACACCACCCCACACACACACCACACACACCTCACACCACCCACACCTACACCCCCCACGCCACACTGCACCCACCACCACACACACACCACACACACATACACACCACACACACACCACCCCACACACACCACACACACAGCCACCACACACACCACACACACCCCCCACCACACACCACCACACACACACCACACCACCCTGCACCACCCCACACACCACCACACACACACCACCCTACACACCACCCCACACACACACACCACCCCACACTACACCCACCACACACACCCCCCACACCACCCACACACACACACACCACCCACACATACACACTACACCACACACCCCACCCCACACCACACACACTACACACACACCACCCCACACCACCCCACACCACCCCACACACACCACACACACCCACCCCACACACACACACCCCACACTACACCACACACCCCACACACACCACCCCACACACTACACCCACCCCACACACACCACCCCATACACACCACCCCACACACACACCCCACACACCACACCCAACGCATACACCCCACACAAACCACACACAAACCCCACACACACACCACACACACACACTACACACCACCCAACACACCACAAACCACCCCACACCACACACACTACACACACACACCACCCCACACACACACACCAAACCACCCCACATACACCACCCACCACACCACACACCACCCCCCACTACACCCACCACCCCACACACACCACCCCACACCACACACACACACACCACCCACACCACCACATACCCACCACACACACCACCCACACATACACACACCACCCCCCAGAGGCACTTACTTGGCGACTCCCTTTTGTTCTCCAAGTCGTCTTCTTGTTCCCCGTAATAACCTTGCTCGTTATTTCTTTTTGATGTTACTAGTTGCAAGAAGAGGAGGATTGACGATAAGGATGGCGAGTGTGGGTTGATGGGGGAGGGGAAGACAACGCAGCCACCAAACCACGCTGCTGTCGAAATGTTGTTGTCTGCCCCACCACCACCAACACCACAACCACCACCACCAACAACAACAACAACCAAACACCCTAGTCTACACAAGGTCTCGTCAAAAGCCAAGCAGCACAGCCTGCCTTGCTTGCTTGCTTGGAACCTGACCTCAACGTCTCTCCCAAGTGGCTTCGCTTTCGCTCTGCGTATTGCTTCTCTCCGTGTCAGCGGTGTGTGTGGTGTGTGTGTGGGGGGGTAAGGCTATGAAGCTGTCCCCATCAGCTGTCCCCCAACACCAACAACAACACCACCAACAACACCACCACTACCACCAACCTCTTTGAGAAGCCCCCAAATAAAATAACGAAACGCGAACTCCGTCTCTCATAACCTCGCCCCCCCCTCCTCCTCGTGTCCCTTCGCTGTTCCACGAACGTCTTGACGCGGCGTGTGTGTCTCTGTGTGTGTGTCTGTGTGTGTGTCTCTGTGTGTGTGTCTGTGTGTGTGTGTGTCTGTCTGTGTGTGTGTCTGTGTGTGTGTCTGTGTGTGTGTCTGTGTCTCTGTGTGTGTGTCTGTGTGTGTGTCTGTCTGTGTGTGTCTGTGTGTGTGTGTGTCTCTGTGTGTGTGTGTCTGTCTGTGTGTGTGTCTGTGTGTGTCTCTGTGTGTGTGTCTGTGTGTGTGTCTGTGTCTCTGTGTGTGTGTCTGTGTGTGTGTCTGTCTGTGTGTGTCTGTGTCTCTGTGTGTGTGTGTGTGTCTCTGTGTGTTTGTGTGTCTGTGTGTGTGTCTGTTTGTCTCTGTGTGTGTTTGTCTCTGTGTGTGTCTGTGTGTGTGTCTCTGTGTGTGTGTGTCTGTGTGTGTCTCTGTGTGTTTGTGTGTCTGTGTGTTTGTGTGTTTGTGTGTCTCTGTGTGTGTGTCTCTGTGTGTTTGTGTGTCTGTGTGTGTGTCTGTTTGTCTCTGTGTGTGTTTGTCTCTGTGTGTGTCTGTGTGTGTGTCTCTGTGTGTGTGTGCCCTGCTTGGTGTGTCTGTGTCTCTGTGTGTGTCTTTGTGTGTGTTTCTGTGTGTGTGTCTCTGTGTGTCTGTCTGTGTGTATCTCTGTGTGTTTGTGTGTCTGTGTCTCTGTATGTCTCTGTGTGTCTGTGTGTCTCTGTGTGTGTATCTCTGTGTGTGTTTGGGTGTGTGTCTCTGTGTGTTTGTGTGTGTGCCCTGCTTGGGGTGTCTGTGTGTGTGTCTGCGTGTGTCTGTGTGTGTGCCCTGCTTAGTGTGTGTCTCTGTGTGTCTCTCTGTGTGTGTCTATGTGTGTGTGTCTCTGTGTGTGCCCTGCTTAGTGTGTGTCTCTGTGTGTGTGTGTGTCTATGTGTGTGTGTCTCTGTGTGTGTGCCCTGCTTAGTGTGTGTCTCTGTGTGTGTGTCTCTGTGTATCTCTCTATGTGTCTCTGTGTGTGTGTCTCTGTGTGTGCCCTGCTTAGTGTGTGTGTCTGTGTGTGTATCTCTCTCTGTGTGTGTGCCCTGCTTAGTGTGTGTCTCTGTGTGTGTATCTCTGTGTGTGTCTATGTGTGTGTGTCTCTGTGTGTGCCCTGCTTAGTGTGTGTGTCTGTGTGTGTATCTCTCTCTGTGTGTGTGCCCTGCTTAGTGTGTGTCTCTGTGTGTGTATCTCTGTGTGTGTCTATGTGTGTGTGTCTCTGTGTGTGCCCTGCTTAGTGTGTGTCTCTGTGTGTGTGCCCTGCTTGGGGTGTCTGTGTGTGTCTCTGTCTGTGTGTGTCTCTCTGTGTGTGTGTCTCTGTGCCCTGCTTAGTGTGTGTCTCTCTCTCTGGCTGCCTTCCCCTCCTCCCTCCTGGCTGCCTGCGGCTCCGTCTCCCCTCTCTCTCTTCTCTCTGCGCCCGTCCCCTCCCCTCCCCACGTGGAGCGCGTTCACGCCTCCGCCGTGATGACGTCTCTCCACGCCTGGGTCAGCTCAGACGGAACGACGCTGCCTCGGTGGTGGTGGTGGCGGAGGAGGAGGAAGAGGAGGCGAGAGGGTGGGTGACTGTGTCAGTGAGAGCAGAGAGGGTGGGTGGGTGACTGTGTGAGTGAGTGGGAGCAGAGAGGGGTGGGTGACTGTGTGGGTGAGTGGGAGCAGAGAGGGTGGGTGGGTGACTGTGTGAGTGAGTGGGAGCAGAGAGAGAGAGAGGGGGAGATGGGGGTGACTGTGTGAGTGAGTGGGAGCAGAGAGGGGTGGGTGGGTGACTGTGTGAGTGAGTGGGAGCAGAGAGGGTGGGTGGGTGACTGTGTGAGTGGGAGCAGAGAAGGGTGGGTGGGTGACTGTGTGAGTGAGTGGGAGCAGAGAGAGAGAGAGGGGGAGATGGGGGTGACTGTGTGAGTGAGTGGGAGCAGAGAGGGGTGGGTGGGTGACTGTGTGAGTGAGTGGGAGCAGAGAGGGTGGGTGGGTGACTGTGTGAGTGGGAGCAGAGAAGGGTGGGTGGGTGACTGTGTGGGTGAGTGGGAGCAGAGGAAGATGGGGGGGGGGGGGTGACTGTGTGAGTGAGTGGGAGCAGAGAGGGTGGGTGGGTGACTGTGTGAGTGGGAGCAGAGAGGGGTGGGTGGGTGACTGTGTGAGTGAGTGGGAGCAGAGAGAGAGGGGGAGATGGGGGTGACTGTGTGAGTGAGTAGGAGCAGAGGGAGAAGGATGGGTGGGTGACTATGTGAGTGAGTGGGAGCAGAGGGAGACGGGGGTGACTGTGTGAGTGAGTGGGAGCAGAGGGAGACGGGGGTGACTGTGTGAGTGAGTGGGAGCAGAGGGAGAAGGATGGGTGGGTGACTGTGTGAGTGAGTGGGAGCAGAGGGAGACGGGGGTGACTGTGTGAGTGAGTGGGAGCAGAGGGAGAAGGATGGGTGGGTGACTATGTGAGTGAGTGGGAGCAGAGGGAGACGGGGGTGACTGTGTGAGTGAGTGGGAGCAGAGGGAGAGAAGGGTGGGTGACTGTGTGAGTGAGAGCAGAGAGAGAGAAGGGTGGGTGACTGTGTGAGTGAGTGAGAGCAGAGGGAGAGGGGTGGGTGGGTGACTGTGTGAGTGAGTGGGAGCAGAGGGAGAGAAGGGTGGGTGACTGTGTGAGTGAGTGAGAGCAGAGAGAGAGAGAAGGGTGGGTGACTGTGTGAGTGAGTGGGAGCAGAGGGAGAGGGGTGGGTGACTGTGTGAGTGAGTGGGAGCAGAGAGGGAGAAGGGAGGGTGGGTGACTGTGTGAGTGAGTGAGTGGGAGCAGAGGGAGAGGGGTGGGTGGGTGACTGTGTGAGTGAGTGAGTGAGTGGGAGCAGAGGGAGAGGGGTGGGTGGGTGACTGTGTGAGTGAGTGGGAGCAGAGAGGGAGAAGGGAGGGTGGGTGACTGTGTGAGTGAGTGAGTGGGAGCAGAGGGAGAGGGGTGGGTGGGTGACTGTGTGAGTGAGTGAGTGGGAGCAGAGGGAGAGGGGTGGGTGACTGTGTGAGTGAGTGGGAGCAGAGGGAGAAGGGAGGGTGGGTGACTGTGTGAGTGAGTGGGAGCAGAGGGAGAGGGGTGGGTGGGTGACTGTGTGAGTGAGTGGGAGCAGAGAGGGAGAAGGGAGGGTGGGTGACTGTGTGAGTGAGTGAGTGGGAGCAGAGGGAGAGGGGTGGGTGGGTGACTGTGTGAGTGAGTGAGTGGGAGCAGAGGGAGAGGGGTGGGTGGGTGACTGTGTGAGTGAGTGGGAGCAGAGAGGGAGAAGGGAGGGTGGGTGACTGTGTGAGTGAGTGAGTGGGAGCAGAGGGAGAGGGGTGGGTGGGTGACTGTGTGAGTGAGTGAGTGGGAGCAGAGGGAGAGGGGTGGGTGACTGTGTGAGTGAGTGGGAGCAGAGGGAGAAGGGAGGGTCGGTGACTGTGTGAGTGAGTGAGTGGGAGCAGAGGGAGAGGGGTGGGTGGGTGACTGTGTGAGTGAGTGAGTGGGAGCAGAGGGAGAGGGGTGGGTGGGTGACTGAGTGAGTGAGTGTGAGCAGAGGGAGAGGGGTGGGTGACTGTGTGAGTGAGTGAGAGCAGAGGGAGAGGGGTGGGTGGGTGACTGTGTGAGTGAGTGGGAGCAGAGGGAGAGGGGTGGGTGACTGTGTGAGTGAGTGGAAGCAGAGAGAGAGAAGGGTGGGTGACTGTGTGAGTGAGTGGGAGCAGAGGAAGATGGGTGGGTGGGTGACTGAGTGAGTGAGTGTGAGCAGAGGGAGAGGGGTGGGTGACTGTGTGAGTGAGTGAGAGCAGAGGGAGAGGGGTGGGTGGGTGACTGTGTGAGTGAGTGAGAGCAGAGGGAGAAGGGAGGGTGGGTGACTGTGTGAGTGAGTGGGAGCAGAGGGAGAGGGGTGGGTGACTGTGTGAGTGAGTGGGAGCAGAGAGAGAGAAGGGTGGGTGACTGTGTGAGTGAGTGGGAGCAGAGGGAGAAGGATGGGTGGGTGACTATGTGAGTGAGTGGGAGCAGAGGGAGACGGGGGTGACTGTGTGAGTGAGTGGGAGCAGAGGGAGAGAAGGGTGGGTGACTGTGTGAGTGAGAGCAGAGAGAGAGAAGGGTGGGTGACTGTGTGAGTGAGTGAGAGCAGAGGGAGAGGGGTGGGTGGGTGACTGTGTGAGTGAGTGGGAGCAGAGGGAGAGAAGGGTGGGTGACTGTGTGAGTGAGTGAGAGCAGAGAGAGAGAGAAGGGTGGGTGACTGTGTGAGTGAGTGGGAGCAGAGGGAGAGGGGTGGGTGACTGTGTGAGTGAGTGGGAGCAGAGAGGGAGAAGGGAGGGTGGGTGACTGTGTGAGTGAGTGAGTGGGAGCAGAGGGAGAGGGGTGGGTGGGTGACTGTGTGAGTGAGTGAGTGAGTGGGAGCAGAGGGAGAGGGGTGGGTGGGTGACTGTGTGAGTGAGTGGGAGCAGAGAGGGAGAAGGGAGGGTGGGTGACTGTGTGAGTGAGTGAGTGGGAGCAGAGGGAGAGGGGTGGGTGGGTGACTGTGTGAGTGAGTGAGTGGGAGCAGAGGGAGAGGGGTGGGTGACTGTGTGAGTGAGTGGGAGCAGAGGGAGAAGGGAGGGTGGGTGACTGTGTGAGTGAGTGGGAGCAGAGGGAGAGGGGTGGGTGGGTGACTGTGTGAGTGAGTGGGAGCAGAGAGGGAGAAGGGAGGGTGGGTGACTGTGTGAGTGAGTGAGAGGGAGCAGAGGGAGAGGGGTGGGTGGGTGACTGTGTGAGTGAGTGAGTGGGAGCAGAGGGAGAGGGGTGGGTGGGTGACTGTGTGAGTGAGTGGGAGCAGAGAGGGAGAAGGGAGGGTGGGTGACTGTGTGAGTGAGTGAGTGGGAGCAGAGGGAGAGGGGTGGGTGGGTGACTGTGTGAGTGAGTGAGTGGGAGCAGAGGGAGAGGGGTGGGTGACTGTGTGAGTGAGTGGGAGCAGAGGGAGAAGGGAGGGTCGGTGACTGTGTGAGTGAGTGAGTGGGAGCAGAGGGAGAGGGGTGGGTGGGTGACTGTGTGAGTGAGTGAGTGGGAGCAGAGGGAGAGGGGTGGGTGGGTGACTGAGTGAGTGAGTGTGAGCAGAGGGAGAGGGGTGGGTGACTGTGTGAGTGAGTGAGAGCAGAGGGAGAGGGGTGGGTGGGTGACTGTGTGAGTGAGTGGGAGCAGAGGGAGAGGGGTGGGTGACTGTGTGAGTGAGTGGAAGCAGAGAGAGAGAAGGGTGGGTGACTGTGTGAGTGAGTGGGAGCAGAGGAAGATGGGTGGGTGGGTGACTGAGTGAGTGAGTGTGAGCAGAGGGAGAGGGGTGGGTGACTGTGTGAGTGAGTGAGAGCAGAGGGAGAGGGGTGGGTGGGTGACTGTGTGAGTGAGTGAGAGCAGAGGGAGAAGGGAGGGTGGGTGACTGTGTGAGTGAGTGGGAGCAGAGGGAGAGGGGTGGGTGACTGTGTGAGTGAGTGGGAGCAGAGAGAGAGAAGGGTGGGTGACTGTGTGAGTGAGTGGGAGCAGAGGAAGATGGGTGGGTGGGTGACTGAGTGAGTGAGTGGGAGCAGAGGGAGAGGGGTGGGTGACTGTGTGAGTGAGTGAGAGCAGAGGGAGAGGGGTGGGTGGGTGACTGTGTGAGTGAGTGAGAGCAGAGGGAGAGAGAAGGGGGAGGGGAGAGAGAGGGGAGAGAGAGGGTGGGTTGACTATGTGAGTGAGTGAGAGCAGAGAGGGTGGGTGACTGACTGTGTGAGTGAGTGGGAGCAGAGGGAGAGAAGGGTGGAGATGGGGGTGACTGTGTGAGTGAGTGAGAGCAGAGGGAGAGAGAAGGGGGAGGGGGTTGAGAGGGGAGAGAGAGCGTGGGTAGACTTGGTGAGTGAGAGCAAGGAGAGAGTGAGAGAGATAAATGGAAGAGAGTGAGTGAGAATGAGTTGGTGATTGTGAGTGGTGGTGGGTTCTGGGTGGAAACGCCGTTTCCTGTGTGCGGATTTGTAACATCCAGGCGGCCACAGACGTCGTCGTGGCGGCTACGAAACGACTCGATCAAGGCGGTGAGATACATTAAACACACCATCTTGTTGGGGGTTGGAGAATCTCACTCTTGCTGTGCAAACACAACAACAACAAACAACAACAAACACAACAACAGCAGCAGCGATTCGAATGCGGAAACGCCGCTGCTGCTCGCATTGGCGAGCTGCCGCTTGCGGACGACATCGCCGTCGGTTTAACACGGAGACTTTCGCGATAATATCAATATTATTATACACAATATTATCGATAATATTGGTATTAACACGTTACGCGATCTAACACCCCACCCCAGTCTCCTTTAAAAGACGTCTGGGATGACATCTTCATGGTGAGTTGTTACACAGACGACCCGTGTAGACGGCTATGATGGGCAAGTGTGGTGGTGGTGTTGTTGTTTGTTGTTGTTGTTTGTGTGTGTACACTTGATACACACACACCAGAGTATCTGAGGTACACACACCAGAGTATCTGAGGTACACACTCGTGTAAACGTATGTATTCTTCACCTGATGACGGCTGCTTGCGTTGTGGCCGAAACGTCGTGAGAATTATTTTATTATGTTTTATTGTTATTATTTTATTACTTCCCTTCTACGTGAATTTATCGAAAGAACCAAGAAGATGAATCCCTGCAAGTCACGAAAGCTTTAAATCGAAATTTACGTCTGCAGAGTTGTGTGCTTGCTGTTGTAAATGTAGGCGATGCCGTGTCAACACACACGGCTCTAGCCTCGTGTTCTTGTACGGGGGACGTTTGAGTTTTCAGGTCCATGCGGTCACAGTTTTCGTCTATTTGTTTGTGAATTTGTTTGTTTATTTTTTCGTCTATTTGTGCATTTGTGAATTTGTTTGTTGAATTTTTTCGTCTATTTGTTTGTGAATTTGTTTGTTGAATTTTTTCGTCTATTTGTTTGTGAATTTGTTTGTTTATTTTTTAGTCTATTTGTTTGTTTATTTTTTCGTATATTTCTTTGAGAATTTGTTTGTGAATTTGCTTGTCTATTTGTTTATTTTTTCGTCTTTGTTTGTGCATTTGTTCGTCTATTTGTTTGTGAATTTGTTCGTCTATTTGTTTGTGAATTTGTTTGTCTATTTATTTGTGAATTTGCTTGTCTATTTGTTTGTGAATTAGTTTGTGAATTTGTCTATTTGTTTGTTTATTTTTTCGTCTATTTGTTTGTTTATTTTTTCGTCTATTTATTTGTTTATTTTTTCGTCTATTTGTTTCTTTATTTGCTTACGTTTCTCCCATTGTTATGTGCGATTTTATAGTATAAACGTCGAGATTTACAAGGCCACGGGGGTGATGAATGAATAAGGTCTGAATTGATCTGTTGTAATAAGTGAGGGGCACTGATAATGGGTTGACAGGTACTGTATATGTGTGTGTGCTTGACAACGTATCCTTTGACAGGCAGTAGTGTGTGTGTTGACTGCATGGGGTGGTTTGTGTGTCTGTAGGTCAATGAGACTCAACAACCCCGCCAGAGCTGAGTTATTGTGTACTTGCCAATGCCAATGTGTACTCAGTAATGTCATTGTTATACAGCACTTACATGGTGTGTATACTTCCTACAGGATATGGACCCACTGCTGGTGTCTCTGTGACCTGCAAACACGCCACCTAATGTGAGTACACACGTGTAATTGTGTGTTTTTGTGTCATTGTACACGGTACTTAGCATTGTGTATACTTCCTACAGGATATGTACTCGGTGTTTGTGTCTCTGTCTCTTTGAACTGCTTATACACACCACCTAATGTGAGTACACACGTGTAATTGTGTGTGTTTTTGGTATTGTAGTTGTATACAGTACTTAGCATTGTGTATACTTTCTTTAAGGATATGTACTCGGTGTTTGGGTTTTTGTCTCCTTCAACTGCATACACACCTTTTATAGATTTGAAGCTTTCGTGACTGTAAGGATCCATACTCGTTGGGTCTTTTGGTAAAGTCACGCAGGTGAAAAGTAAATAAATAAACAATAAGAATATTTAGTTATTTCTATTTTTATTCTTATTTATTATAAATTTTTCACCAACGTGACTTTACCGAAAGAACCAAAGAGTATGCATACACACCACCTAATGTGAGTAGATACGTGTAATTGTGTGTTTTGGTACTGTAATTGTATACAGTTGTTACCGATGGCTGTACGTACTGCAAGTAGTGTGTGTGTGTTGTATATGTTATGGTGGTTTGTGTGTCTGTCGAAAGAATTGTTTACACACTCGTGTAATTGTGTACTTTGCTGTGCATATTATGAACGGACAGTATGCACATTCGCCTGCAGTTATGGTGGTGGGAATTTCTTGTTGACTTACACATACCACCAGTACTACCTTGATAATGCTATACAATGTAATTGTGTATTGCACTTTCTAACCTGTGCTATATTGCTGTGGTAACGTGCTGAACCGCCCACACTGGACATCTGTGAAAAATAGCTTAATAGCTCATCGGATTTCTCCAGTCTGAATACAGATTCTGATAACACTATGTAACACAATTTTTGTTCCTGGGTAGTAAGTGTTATTTCATAATTGCTTATGCCTAAAAAGTATACAAAATGGCTATTATTCCCCACAAACTTTGCTTTTGTGACCAGGACAGTGATATTTTGAAATTTACCTATTTTCACTGAGAAAACGGGCCAATTTGTGTCTTTTCGTTCACGTAAAGTCAGAAAAAACAACATGTGAATCAAAATTAACATGTTTTCTAAAGTAATACAAAAATGACTACAAAAGATTTAGAAGTGAGTAGTTTTTCAAGATTTACGATTATACTGTAAATCACTTTCACGTTTCAGCCCCCAAATGTAGTCTCCCATCATGTTCTCGTTATACTGTCCTTGGTAGCGGCGTTCAAAGTCAAGTATATCCTGGTGGAAGCGCTCGCCTTGTTCCTCCGAGTACGCTCCCTTGTTCTTTCATTTATCAAATGAGCATCAAGGATATGGATTTTGAGGGACATCCTACAGCCCATTGTGTCGTAGTTCTTCACCAGTCTCAACCAGCTCCACGTAGTTTTCGACCTTGTGATTGCCCAGGAAGCCACGAACCACTGCGACAAAGCTGTTCCAAGCCGCTTTCTCCTTACCAGTGAGCTTCTTGGGGAATTCATTACACTCCAGGATCTTCTTTATCTGTGGTCCGACGAAGACACCGGCTTTGACCTTTGCCTCAGACAGCTTAGGGAAGAAGTCTTGAAGGTACTTGAAGGCTGCCGACTCCATATCTACAGCTCTGACAAATTGTTTCATAAGGCCCAATTTGATGTGCAGTGGTGGCATCAGCACCTTCCGGGGGTCCACCAGTGGCTCCCACTGACGTTGTTCCTCCCCACAGAGAACTCGGTCCGCTGTGGCCAGTCCCACCTGTGGTAGTGCGCCTTGGTGTCTAAATCTTTTGTAGTAAATTTTGTATTACTTCAGTATAAATACATGTACATTTTAATTCATATGTTGTTTTATTCTGACTTTATGTGAACGAAAAGACACAAATTTGCACGTTTTCGCATTGAAAATAGGTACATTTCAAAATATCACTGTCCTGGTCACAAAAGCCAAGTGTGTGGGGAATAATAGTCAATTAGGAAATAACACTTACTACCCAGAAAAAAAAATTGTCACAGTGTAATAGTTCTGGTGGACAGTTAAACGCGTATAGATGTGTGGTTTAACCCGCCACCACCCGACACAGACAATTAGTAGTGTCACGTAAACAAAACCCTCTATAATAGTTCTGGTGGCGTTTCCCTCATCTACGGGCACATACCACCACCACAACTGTGTACACATGTAAAGGGTACACTCACCAATGTACATAACTGATACATACTGGCTGGTGTACACCGTTGCGGTGAGGTTGTGTGTCTCGACCTACAGACACACCACCACCTTACTATGTACATACTTAATGTAATTGTATACTAAGTGCCTACTAAAGTACCTTACTAATACTGTCTGTACACAGAGCACACAGCAAATGTTGGGTCGAGTGTCGGTACCATAACTGTGTACACACTCATGTATACATCACTAGTTGAACACAGTTGTGATGTTGGTGTGTGTTGCGTGAAGGGGGGGAGCGGTGGTGAAGCGGTTAGCGAGTTCGATTCCCGCTCACGGCCACCAACACCGATGACGCATGATCTGAACCGGTCCTGGGCCTCCCCTAGGTCGACTCAGCCTCAACTGAGTACCTGGTGTGATGTGTAAACATCAGCACCGAGGAGACAAAGGCGGCCGGGCGTAGTGCTGGCCACCCACCCCCTTGTATCCTGTGCTAGCCTTCATAGGTGCTTGCGAAGAGCACTTACCCCAACAGTCTTTTCAGGCTATACAGGGGGGGAGATCTTTGTATTGCTCTGCCTAAGCTCCCAGCTGTCTGCCCCTGCTTGTCATAGACTGTACTGTGAAGCTGTGTATTTCCATACACAGTGGTGTGTGTATGTGCTGTGACCACGTGTAACCAGTATCCCCCAGTCGACATGTGCTTTTAGCTGTACTCATTCCTGATAATCATCAGCAGCTGTGTTCCACTGCTGGATGAATGTCTGCCACAAGCTGTTGGTAGACCTCACGCGGCCTTGCTATGCGACGATCCATTGGACTCCTGCACAGGAGCCGGTTCACCGCTCCGATGTCACCTCGGATGTGTTCCCTCCGTTGGCTGTCATTCTACCATCGGGTCTCATCTACCGGCCAATCGTCATCCTTCCCAAGCCCACTCACTTTTGTGAACAAGAATGTTGCCATCTTACTGCTGGTTACAATGTCGCAGAGGCGTGCGTGCTCCTTTTGGCTGCCATTCCTTCAGCCTTGGCTATTGTCATCCTGTTTCACTGGTGTGTGCCGTATGCAAGGCATCATGATTGTTATTGATTTGACCGCTGCTCGATGAAGGCCTTCCCTTCCTGCCGGCATATTCTATCCCATCCTATGGTTGCCATTCCATCGTCGCCAGCCTCTTCCGTCTGCCATCATCCTTTCCAGCGATGTGCTTTGTCCAAAAACCGAACTTAACTGTTCAAGTCTCAAATTTGAGTTTGTAATCTGATCCACGTGTTCCTCTTCCTGTTTCCCAGTGTAATGCCAAACATCTACCTCTTTATTCTTTGCACACACACACTTAAACTTTTGTAAAAAAAATTGTTATGTCAGCATCCATGTTTCCTATCCATGTCATCGCACGCCGTATCCACCGATTGAAACGTTCTTCTGTGATATTTGATGAAGGGCCATTGACTATAACGTCGCTGATTATATGTTTCCTTTTAAGGCGGCGTTGTTGGCGAATGTGAGTTTTCTCTTGACATTTGTATGTTGCTTTCATTGTCGACTTCAATTTCCTAAAAGCACTCCAACTTACTCTTGCTAGCCTCTTAATTACATAATTTGTAGGCCAAGCTGCCTTCAGTAATTGCCAAAGGTATACATGTCACTCTGTTGTGCTTTCCAGTCAAGGACTGAATCGGTTTAACTCATACTCGACTTTTCTTTTGTTCAAGTTTATCTTGAGCCCAACTTTGCAGTGTCCTTTTAAAGATCCATCATATCTTCCTGCAGTTTCATTGGTTGATATTAATGACTGTTATAAGAAAATCAGAGATGGTTAATAATTTTTCTCTGTTTATGTTTCAAGCCTTTTACCCAATACAATTTCCCTAAATACTGGATCTCAGAATGTTGCTGTGATTGTTGTGTGTTGAGCTTCTGCCGCACCATACGTAACTTTGGTGAGAGCATACCTTTGGTGAGACCATATCTCATGGACTCACTCGAGTTATTTACTTTGCTACTTTCTTGATTCCATCTCAGTATTTTTAAATCCTTTATATTAAGTTCACTTGCTTGCTTGCTTGCTTACGACCGTGCAAATCTTTCGGTCGTTTTTTAACCCACTTCCCGTGATCCAATCGAGCTGACATTTTGCACACAGACTCGTTGTGCGTGACAATTCAAATTATATTTAATTACCAATTGCTTAATGGTGGCAGGCATTCATCTGACCCATAGGTGGCAGCCATCTCAAGCCAGAGGACGAGAGGACTCTAGCTGCCACGCATATAAAGGATTTATAGTGAAAAACTTTGTTTTTACGGGTTAATTTTTGTTGTTCCATCATACACTCCACAGTTTCCATATATTTTAATGTAAGCCTCTATTTTTGAGAGCTTGGATGATCATACATTTCCACTGAGTCAAATAGCATGTTTTAGACGGAATGTCTTTCGTGAGGGGAAAACACGTGACCATACTTCGCCATGCTGCGTCAGTGCCGATTAGTGGAGATATCCACTTCACAATGTGGTGCATACCACCCCCATGAAAGCCACCGCCGAACTATTAATATCTTAACACCACATATGACAAATTCACCTGGAATGCACCCAATCTCGTCAGATTTTGGTAAGTTTAGCCTGGAAGGTGGTCGAATGCACAACGAGGTTGTTGCAGGCTTGTGCGTCGTAGCAGCAGAGGGCGGTGAAATCAAATCCATTGCCCTTGCCGTGTATACTTCATTGCTCCCGCACTCATGCGGCCGCACCAGGGTCGCAAATGGGTACCCGTACCCGTACCCGGCCGGGTACGGCTTCCCGTTCCCTACCCATACCCGTACCCTACCCGAAATGAGTGACAAACGGTTACTCACGAGTGACTCACGGCCTACCCGTACCCGTACCCGGCCGCACCAGGGTCGCAAACGGTTACCCGTACCCGTACCCGGCCGGGTACTGGTAGCCGGGTATCGGGTAGGGTACGGGTATCGGTTACCCGGTTGCGACCTCTGTGACGTATGCTTAAATTACCCCCACGATCAGCATAGCATGAAGACAACCTCATCTAGCAGTGGAATTCCAACAAGGGCTGTAACATGTACTTCTATACCAGTAACATTACTACTGTACTGATGACTAGTAAGTATTAAGTGGCTTTTGCTTTCTATTGACTTAAGCGTCAATTGGAGTGATTGTGTATAATGCATTACTTGGAATATATTCGAGCAATTTAGAGCTTTAGGCTGACCCTGCCCTATGAGTGAACCCAATCAACCACCATATGACACATTTTTAGCACCAACATTTTTAAATGTTCTGTTTCAGATTCTTCTAGTCATAAACATAGACTTGACTACCGGTATATCAAATGTAACCTTTCTAGCTCTTCCAGAACTTAAATGGAATCAAAGACAAAGATCTCTGTATAGCCTTAAAATACATTTGGGGGTGTGGGTGGCCAGCACCATGCCTGGCGATGTTTAAGACACCGCACCAGGTACTCATTTGAGGCTGAGTCGCCATAGGGGATGCCCAAGACCGATTCAGATAATCGTTACTGTTGTTGGGCATGAGCGAGAATCAAACTCGGGTCGCCAGGTTCGTAGCACAGCGCTCTAATTGCCGCACGAACGCTTCCCACCATTTACCTAATTCACTTGTGTCAGATTCTCTAGGTATGAATCACACATTACCGCTTTATAGTTGTCAGTTTTACAGTGTGAGGTGTGGCCACATAGGATGGGATGACACTCGGTCTCTGCCGTCCGTCAGTATTCTCCGGGTACTCCAGTTTCCACCCACATGCAACTCAAGAATGGTATTGGCTAAAGATGCCAAAGTAGGACCCTCCGGTAAAAATGGTGTCTTGGGGACTCACTGAGAGCTTCCTGGGTAAATAATTAGCAATACAGTAATGTACTCATGTTAACAACAGCTCAACCTTTGCATATGAAGTACAGACAATCAATATTGAGCAATTCATAGCCAAGTAGGATATGAGAGGGCAAAACCTCCAAATATTGGATTTTAATTTGTTGCATTGAGTGTGCTCTTATATTGAGGATAAGGCAGCCAAGGGATGGAATGTGTCTGAGAGGACGTTTTCCCCCCCGAGCTGACGGGGTGATGAAATTTCTTCGTGTGCAAGTGCTGGTTGGATCGTTGCATTGCAGGCTTGTGGGAGATGGCGACAGCTTGGGGCGACCTTCGTCCAACAGTGGATTGATCGTGGCTGATGATGATGATGATGATGAAGAAGGTCATAGAAAAATATGATCTCTGGCAATATACAGAATGTGTGTGTGTATTAAAGAAGAAATACTGTGTTTGCAAAACTTAATGTATGCATGATGCATGGGCCAGATGAGTTAAATAAGCTTTGGGTCAGCCACATGTGTGTTTGGGCTGTGTTGCGTGAGACTGCGGTTAAGCAGGAAACCCATGCATTTGGATCAGCCTCAATTGTAGCAATTGAATAACGTGTTTGTTTGCTCAGCCTGCTGCAACAATTCCGCATCAATTGCCAGGAAACACACGCGTGTCAGAGGATTTTAATGATGCCCGAGATGCACTCCGCAGTGCATCGGGGGTTTGTAAGCTTACGTAATCACACCTACTGACAAGCCACTCATCATGTCATTCCCAAGGATGGATGTTGTTGAGAAAGCAATACATCTCATAGTCTACCCACCAACACCCGAACTCGGTTATCTAATGATGATTACTGATCATAATTGGAAATACTGTAATCCTGACTCCATTTGTACTTCATACTCTGGCTCTTAGTATAATTAATTGCACTCGGTCATCTTGTAAATCGATACAGGATGAATCACAAATAGTTTTAAACTCTGTGTGTGCGCACAAAAACTATACGCAGCAAGCGATGGGTTTCATTTATTAGTAAACATAATTTGTAATGTTTGCTTGCAAAACAAACACTATGACAATACAAGAGAGGCCTGTCCTCCGGTTAATACCACAGATAAATGGGCAATCTCTCATCCGTATCAATATTTTATTGCGACAAAAAGATAATGGTGCAGCCCTGCAATTAGTTATGCTACAGTTCGTAGAAGGGCCTCCACGAGTGGGAGCTCTACAAAACCCCTCTAGAGGTGATTTGCCCTTACCTTCCATGCTGGCTAGCAATCTTGGAAGAGGTGAAAGTACCCACACTTTACCCCACTACATATGACCTGCCGTCACGACTGTCACGTACCCATTTGTACTGTTGGGTGGACCGAGGCGGGCAGGGAGTGTTTAAGAAACTTCCACCTCCACCTTGGTTGCAACAACCATGTCGGGAAATTGAATCAAAACGGCGACCTCTAGATTTCAAGTCCAGTGTGCTGACAGTTACACCACGGCAGCATTCCCCGCGAGAGCACCGCAGAACAAAAGGGTAATCAGTCATTGCTATCAATATTGCATCGTGATAATTGCCGCATTAAAAAAAAATGGTTCTCGTTTCTCCATCCCGGTGTTTTCTGCAGGTGACGCGCGGGTTTGCCAAATCCCCAGCTGTGTGGTAGCTCCGTCACGGAGTAAATAATAGGATCTCTGCTGGGGAAAGATGCCGCGCGAGGGGGTCCAAAGAGGAAGGGAAGAGCTTGGAGACGATGGCGTGATGGAGGGCACGGGCGATCATGGCACATTCACTGCTGCAGCAGATTACAAAGCCGCTGACTTGACGCAGGTTAGTGTCGGCTGCTTTGACTGCACAATTGCAACACGAATGACCATCAGTAGCTCTAAAAGTGGTAAAAAAATTTCTGAGAATGGGATTTAAATGATTAATTTTTTTCTTTCCCACCTGATGACGGACGTTTGTGTTGCACCCGAAACGTCGTGATTTATTTTATTTTATACCTACGTGACTTTACCGAAAGAACCAAAGAGTATGGATTCCTGCAGTCACGAAAGCTTCAAATCTAGATCAAATTATTTAGCTTTCAGCCATCTGTCAAACCACCCCTGCACGCAGACCTTCCTGCGCCGTGGTGATGATTCTATGACCATACTTCTCCAACTTAGTGCGGATGGGTGAATGCGCAACGGCAGGGCAGTTTTTAAAATATCACTCGTCACCGATGTTAGCCTTGGTATCTCGGTCCAGAGGGCATGGTTTAATCTAATAATTGTACTTAAATCGTCGTGATACTCACGTTACCCAATGACATCAGTGCATTATATTACGTGATTAATCCAAAGATACGGATTATAATTGGGGCTGATATTAAGTGGTATAAGTGCAGTATAATTTTTTTGCATCTCATTCTGATAATGATGAAAAGTAATTTTGTTCACGTTTTGTACATTTTAATGTAACCATAGGTTGTGCAGTCATATAGCACTTCCTTATCATCGCAGTATGGCTCTACCAAGCCCTACTCCCTTCATTTGTTCTGTCCATCTTCCTCCAGCTGAGCTTCAGGCGTGGCGACCGGATAGTCGTCCACCAGCAGATGTCCAACGAGTGGTGGTGGGCTGAACTGAGCGGCTGCTTTGGCTACGTCCCGGCAAGATATTTCACGGAAAGGGACCCGCTCCAGGACCTGGGCGAGGAAGACACTTGGCAGGACGATGAGTACTTCAACAGCTACTCCAAACTCGTATGTCCCAGTGCCCGAGTCACTCGCGACATAGGTTACATGCGGCTCTGTTTTTACCTCCACACGCTCGCCAGTGGGAGAGGTAATACTGGTCGTAATTCCCTTGTATTGTCATAGCAATCATAATACTAATTCGTAGCCAACCAGGTGGCTGAACGGATGAGTGAATGCTTTCGCAAACCCAGACATATCATTGGAAGAATAATATCTCACGATACCGGAAGAGGGGTGAACTACATGTAAACACATTGTCTTAAGTGGGTGCGTTATTGCACAACTGGCAAAAACGTGGACTATTAATTTTCTGGAAAGAATTACAGATTCTCCAGGACAGCTATCTTAAAAAAAGAGATCCTGGGAAAAGCAGGACAGGTGGCAACACTAGTCACCTGCCAGGCCAGTGGACTGGGAAATTCATACCATTCAAAACACGAGATTACAGGCAACTACACGACTGATGTGAGCAGAGGTTAGGTCAAAGCCAACGTGAAAGTGCAATTGTCTTGCAATGACGTTGCTAAAAACAATGCGGTTGTGTGTTTTGCTTTGTTTAATGTAGATTGCAACGCTGAGTAAAGTGAACAAAAACACGCATCACTGCGTTGGCATTGTTGCACTAGCACAATTAAAAACCCAACGCATTAGTCAATAAAACTGCCCGAAAGAGGAAAAAATGTACAATAGGTGACGTTTTTGAAAATGGCATTACTTTATTGGAGAGATGTCGAAGAGCCATTGTTCTTAACGAATTTGTTCAGTTATTTGGGAAATACTGTAAAGTTTAATTCGCGTCACGAACACGCAACTTTGTTCAACAAAGCTGCTGAACTATGTTGCTCTTCAACTCTAGCAATGCGTGCTCTAATTATATGGATGGGATCACGTGGTTAACATGGCTGATTTTATTTTTACGTGTATGATGGCTAGATGTTTGATAAGAAAACTGGACTAATCTGTCTTTCTAAAGGTAAACAACACATTCACCTGTTACTTTTCTTATTATTTTATCATGTTTTTTTCTTATTTCACTAAAGTTCCTGGATAGTTTTTTAAAAGTGAAATTTGTATGCTCAGGAGGCACCTTGGCTTACCTAGACCCCTGCCGGTTTTCCTGGGCCAGGTTGTCCAGGCGAGAGGTGAGGGCGGAGGTAGGGCCTCCTAGGCTCTACTATATTGCACACAGATATTGGCCATCGTTGAGTTTGTCAACTCGGTAATGTATAACTGTGTCGTAAAACAAAAACGACACTTTCAATGTGTAACATAGCATGTTGCGCAACATTAGAGGATTGTAACAAATATTAATGGTAAAGGTGCAGGCCCACAATTACTTGCTTACATCACCGCTGTTGGAAGAGCCTTTACTAGGTGGTGCTCTAGATACCCACACCTGACACAACCACACACGACCTGCCTGCCGATCGACTGCGGTGTACCCATTTATACCGCTGGATGGACAGAGGAGATGGGATGATTTGACAAACTTGTCCATTAAATTTCGATTTAAAGCTTTCGTGACTGCAGGGATTCATCTTCTTGGTTCTTTCGGTAAAGTCACGTTGAAGGGAAGTAATATTATTATTTTATTATGTTTTATTTTTATTATTTTATTACTTCCCTTCTACGTGACTTTACCGAAAACGCCAAGAAGATGAAACTTGTCCATTGTTTCAGCTGCCATGCCTGGAGATCCAAGCCGACGACCTCAGTCAGTCCAGTTCAGTGTGATAACCATGGGTGGCCCTGAGCCAGATGGAGATGTCTCGTTAGATCTGCGTATCTCATTTTGGTCATGGCTCGGCATGGCAATTAACCGCGAGAGCCCCCCCGCATGCCAGCTCGGCTCAAATGAGGACAAAGGGTAAAAGATTCCAACAAGCAAATTAACTTTAATCTCAAAACAATTACCACCCCCCCCCCCGCCTTTTAACCGCTGCGTTACCGTGTGCAGAAGCTGCAGCAGGAGATGCTGGCCGACCGAGTGCGCACCGAGACTTACGGTGCTGTCATGAAGAGGAGCCGCGAGTGGCTACGGGGCAAGGCGGTGCTGGATGTCGGCTGTGGCTCTGGTATCATCAGCATGCTCTGTGCCAAGCACGCCCAGCCATCACGGGTACTGTTGCCCTCGACTCGGCACACTGTGCACCGCTCAGAGAGATGCACCTCGGGGCCCTTTTAAAGAGTCGTGTCAAGGCAGCCGGCACAGGCAGATTTGTACCAGCACAAGCCAGCTGATAGACATGATTGTTATATATTTATTAAGCCGCATTACTTTAACCATTTAGCTGCGCTTTTTTCAATTGGTGTACAATATCTGGATTTTTCCAGATTCGAACCCAAAACAACTCGGTGACAGCTGTACGACAGCTTACGTCAGCTTGTTTACATTTATATGCAGATCTGGCCTTTAGGATGAGCGATAGTGTGAGTAGTTCGCAATCGGAAGGTTGCGAGTTCAAATGCTGGTTTGATGGTTGACTCGGCCCATCATTCCTTGGGAGCTGGATAAAATGAGTACCACTGGGAATAATAAATTGACCAAGGTACCACTGTGGGAAAGGTAATCGTAGTTGTGCGATTGCTACAATTGCTCTCACCTTAGGAATGTGGAATTTCCACCACTGGTTCAGGGCTGTAAACATAAGATGAGCACAAATTCCTCAATGCTCATTTGGGGCAACATATCCCGTTTTACTTTTTTTTTGGATAACATGGAGCAGTACTGGGGTGAATTCTCCGCAGCTCTAATTAAATTGTCTTTGCTGATACCATGGAAGAGTGGCTTGGTTTTGGAGATAATTCTTGGTTTCAGTTTGCAGGCTCTATAATACACGCGCATCACACACACACCATCGTCATCTCCAGTTATTGTTTGTCTAATGCTGCATATGTAGTGACATAGAACGGTCACTACTGTGTCGGCCCGTACGAGGGCTGGGGGCCCCAAGCGGGTGCCTGGGGGGTCACGTGGTGGAGGGATCCGGACCTTCCCAGAGGTGGGGGAAGGGAGGCGTGGCCTGGGAAGGGAGGCGTGGCCTGGACAGAGCCAGCCACGCCTGGGCGGAGCCGGCCACGCCAAAGCAGATATAAGCGTGGTGTGAACGCAGAGCGAGGCTGTTGTACTGTACTCCAAAGTGAAGACATCATCGGTCGTCAAGTCCCGAGTCGTCGTCCTGGGCCAGGCAGGCCGTTGCCTGCCTGGTCCAGTCTGTGTCGCGTTCCAGAGTGTTAGTGAGTTGAGGAAGGTGGTCACCACCTCATGTACAGCGTTATGTTACTTACCGTTTAATAAATAGTGTTGCCTCCAAGCTGCGTGTGTGTGCACCTAATTCGAACCCACTACACATACACAATATTAAAACTACGCTTTGCATTTGTTGATTGAAACTTTAAGCTGTAAAAGTCTAAATATTTAAGCAGTGGCTGCGAGGGTGAGCAACTCGCGGAGGAGATTGTGACCTGCCATAGAGCAAAAAAAAAATACGCGAGACTCGCAGGGAACACAATGTTCCTTCGGTGCGGAACAATCCTACAAGTGGACATATGCAGTGATGGAAAGCGGTGTATAGCTTACATTAATCATCATCTAGTTGCTTCCATCATCTCATTAGCGACGTTGAGGCCAAACAAATGTCTGCCATGGTTCTCTTTCTGTAGCCAGTCTCGCTGTTTCATTCAGTATTCATCTGTATTCTTCTCTATCGTTCAGCCCTGCATCTGTCTGCCTGCTTTTATGTATTATACTACTCATATTTATTTTCTTGTTCGCCATTGTTATTGCTTCATTCAATTTCTATCCCCTTCTAGATATTTTACCACTGCTTCAATGCATCTGGTTTTCTGTCTTCCCTGGCTCCTAATTTCCCGTACTTCTTCTATGCATCACCAGCTGCGGCATCCTGTCCAGGATCATTCTCGTAAAGTGTTCGAACCACGGTAGCTTTTACAAAGCAACCGTAAGCAACAGCCACATTGAATTAACCCATCCATTGCATATTTATCATTATAATATTAGTAAATTGACACCATTTTCTATTATGACTGATGATGCATCTAGGATATTTAGAACTATTAGTATATGCTTAAAATAGCTTAAGAGGTTCAGTGATTAACTTTAAGCATATCAACAAAATTCAAGGGAACCTTTTATATTCATGCAAGTGCACTTAATTGGCTGACTACAGTCCCAGCTAAGAAGGTCATTGTAACACACAGGTTTGGCATGAATCCTGCAACCAAATCGTGACCGGTAATTTCAGATCTGGTAAGCTAAGTAGGTTTTTGCTTGTTAGTATTCGGATAGGAAACGACTTGGAAGGCCAGGTTTTGTGGATTGAGTTGCGAGGTGGCCAGAAGATGGCAGCATAGCAATGGATTCTTGAAGCCATCTATGCTGAGTTTTGATTGTTACCCCCTCATATGTGTGGGCTTTCTTCCTCCCACAAATTAAACACTCATCAATGGAACTTGTAAAATTATTGCAATGCAGGACCCTCCTGCAACATAGTTTTTTTTTCTCATTAAATCGGTCTTGGGTAAATAAAGGCTGATATATAATACGTAGGCTTTTGCGACCAATATTATCGAAAAGAGGTTTTTCTGGCTTAGATCACGTAAATATTTTAAGGACACATTGATATTTACGCGACATAACCCAAAAAAAACCTCTTATGGAAAGGCTAATATTTTTCATAGACGCCTTTTGACCAAACCACCTGAAAAAGCACCCCATCTCTTGAGACCACAAAAGCTAAGCAGGCTTGATCCTGCAAAGCGCTTCAATGGGTGACCACCATGCACAGGGTTTGCGGGGTTACATCATAGACAGCGGAGGGCAGTGCAGCATAATCCCTCGCTGTACCGTGCGTCTCTACGCTACTATGTCTGTGCTCCCTGCCTGGCCCACGTGTGCACCGATCGAACATCGCGAAGCATGATCGGATAAGCGCCGTGACCCGCGCGGCGTGGGAAGACCTTCATGCAGCAGTCGGTTAACAAAAAGAGGGTGGCGCACGCACGTGCGCATTGTTGTGACCTTCTTGGTTCTTTCGGTAAAGTCACGTAGAAGGGAAGTAATAAAATAATAAAAATAAAACATAATAAGATAATTATTTTAATATGTTTTCTTTTATTATGTTTTATTTTTATTATTTTAGTCACGTAGAAAGGAAGTAATAAAATAATGAAAAAATAAAACATAATAAACGAATTATTTTATTATGTTTTATTTTTATTACTTCCCTTCTACGTGACTTTACCGAAAGAACCAAGAAGATGAATCCTTGCAGTCACGAAAGCTTTAAATCGAAATTGTTGTGACCGTCAAGGTGTACGCGGTGGAGGCGAGCGAGCTGGCGCGGCTCACGGAGCAAGTGGTGCGGTGTAACGGGATGGAGGACACAGTACGCGTACTGCAGGGCCGCGTCGAGGACGTCGAGCTACCCGGCAGCGTCGACTGCCTCGTCTCCGAGTGGATGGGCACCTGTCTGCTGGTGCGTGTTTGTGCCGCCTCCCTTCCCACCTCCCCTAAATAACCAGCGCTTTCATTATTTACTTATTCATCATCATCATCATCACCACTTAATATTTATACCGCACCTCCCATGCAGTAGATCTCGAGAGCGCGCTGCCGCAGCAGGGGACCCCCCCGGTGGCAGCTGCCCCTGTGACGAGAAAGGTGAACGCAGCACCGGCCAGCAAGTGGGCATTAGTCTGCCTGTCAGGGGGTGATCTTACTACGTAGCTTTGTGAGTAATTTGTGAGGCCTGTTTACAGAAGCGGTAACGCAAAAACCTGAGTTTGATTCCTGGTCATAGCTAATATCAGTGACAAGTGAGATTTGAACCACGGCTGGCCCCACCTCCTCAATGTCTTTCACCAACCACATTTACCAGCGTGATATAAGTATACAATGTGGATTTATATAGCATTGAAAGTGACTGCGTCTTATAAAAGCTGAATATAAATTGGGGGCATATTTACTTGATACGGAGAGGCGGTCGGTCTTATGCAGAGGAGGAAAGTCTGGTCAAACAACCCCCATGCCTGACACAGCGTGGGAGGCCTTTCATCCAGCAGTGGATTGATTTTCAGCATTGCCAGAACCAATATTATTTCAGTTGGTGGAACACAAGACGACACTATTCACATTATTCAAGAATAATTATACTATTACGACTGCCAGCTCAAGAGATAAAATGTAATAACATATTTAAGTCTTTTCAATTTGCGATTTTATAGCACTATAATAGACGCTTGGAAGTTGTGCAGTTATTTCTATAAGTAATTTAACTGACTGCAGATCGTTGGCTACTTGACGAGCTATTAGTAACTGCATGTGTGGCCACCCTAGGTATGAGCCATCCTTACATTTTCTAGTGAAGTGGATAAAACGAATTGATTAGGAAACTCAAATTAATGTAAAAAAAATACTCACTTTATCTCATTAATGTTGCCTCCTGGCAGTCCAGCAACATCTAAAATGTGAGCTTTGCTGTCCATGGTGTCATTGCCTTTGCGGTAAAATATAAAGGTGCAGACCTGCAATTGCTCGTGGCTGCCACTGTTGTCCGAAGCTCAAGAGAGGAAGCTCTAAAGGGCCTCCTCTCCTTACATCCTAGTCAGACATTTTGTAAGCGGAAGTTACCCACACTTAACAACACCAAGCGTGACTTGCCAATTGACTAACTGTCGTGTATGCATTTATACTGCTGCTGTGTGGACAGGGGCAAAAGTGGCATTCAAGAAAATTGAACTCGTTTCAGCTGCCACGCTGGGAGATCAAATAGAACTGGTGACCTCTAGATTGCCAGTCTATTGTGGTCGCCCATTACACCATGGCAGCATCCAGTTGAATGGTTTAATATCAAGTAAAACCTTGAGCTCACAATAATAATAATGACAAAACGCGCCAGATTTTGCAGCAATAACTCAGAGGCGCAGAGCCAAGCTCAGGGCTGCTAGAAAGCCTGACCAAACAGATAGGCCTTTAGATGTTTCTTGAAAGCCAGAGTGTATTTGATGTTGCGGATGTGCAAAGGGATGGAGTTCCACACAGAGGGGGCGATAGCAGAGAACCGACGTGAGGCTTTTGTCAGTTCGAGACCTTGGTGTCCAAAGCAGATTTTGAGTGACGCTGCTGTTCATTTTATTGCCCAGTTTGAGTTCATGATCGAGTCGGTGCTGCAAGCCCGTGACCGCTGGCTGCGAGATGGAGGAGTCATGTGGCCCTCAACAGCTGCCCTGTACTTGACGCCCTGCTCTGCTCAGCGTGAATACGCGGACAAGATTGGCTTCTGGGACTGGCAGTATGAACTGGACTTCAGCCAGCTCAGGTGTGGTATGGAGAAGCACCCTGGCCAAAGGCAGCAGTCATAGCCTTCATATAAAGAAGGATAACTGGGTTTGTAATGATTCGGCGCACGCAGCGATTCTATGAATTGGCATGATTCGGACATGTTTTTTTGCTGCACGAAAATATATATTTTCGGCCACATTTTCACCATGTTTCTATTGTTTCTCATTAATTCAAACTCATTGTTATGGAACCTGACTCGATTTCATGTATCATGAGCATTATAATGTATTTTTTAAGAGATGGGTTAGGAGTCGGAGCAATGAGCTGGCACTGCTAAGAGATCTTATCCAGGCAGCCAGCTATGATCAAGTGGATTTGGTTGTTCTCAGCCTGGTCATCAATGACTTCACAAAAAAACATCACATTACATTTGATAATTTCCAGCTCTTAGAATAAACAAAAGACTGCTTTCCAAGATTCCTCTCAGCAGCATAGCGGGTGGGAAAATGCTGCCGCCTTGATGGGGATTTCAGAGGTAAGTTCCCGAACACGAATGGTCATGCTGCTCTGCGTACTTAATTGCTCACAAATGGGATACAATTGGGGGGAAAGGCAAAAGATTTTTAAGAATGTAATCTTTTAGTGAATTGATCGATGCATTGTTGCATGCTTAGCCACAAATGACTGCTGGAATATTGAGTCAAACACTGAATGATCCCAGATGCTATTTTAGTAAACATTACAAGAATTACAGAAAAATGTCAGAGAAACACATGCAAATGAAAAATTTCTGGCTGAAAAACTTTGAATACAACTCAAGTGTTTTTATTTTTTTAAAGATAAACAATCAACGGAGCAATTTAATGTAATTATTCAACCTATGGGGCTTTAAAATAGGGCCAAACCAAGTGATCACATTTTAATTTCAGTGGTTTCAACAGCCCAGGTTGTTTCACTGCGTGCAATGAAGCTTCACAATTCGTGTCATCTACCGCTGGCCGCAGGACTGAGGCGGCAAAGGAATTTTTCTCCAAGCCCAAGCACGACCACCAGATGGACCCAGACGACTGCCTGGCAGAGCCATGCTGCATCCTGCAGTTGGACATGAGCAAAGTGCAAACTTCCGATTTGGAGGTACGCTCATTGATTGGTCCTCATGCCGTTACCCCAGAAATGGTTTATTGGTACCACTCCAGGTGGCAAATGCTAATAATAATGCTAGTGAAACATTTTATCTCTGGATAACAAATATGCAAGATAGCAAGGTCAACCTGGTTGCTTTTTGTGAGAACAATTACATAAAAGAAGGGTACCTTAGTATGTTTGGCAGAGAATATAACTTTCAAAAGTATTTACGTGACGTTAAACATACATGAAATATTAAAATAGGAAGTGTGGATATAAGACAGTGTTTGTGTGCAGATTTCTGCCCAATGTGGACACGGGCAGTATTTGCCACCCCAGGTGAAACCAACCACAACTCCCTTGGCCCATCAGCTGCACGTGATCACCTTGTTTCTGCGCAGAAAGATATCTGCAAAGTGTTGCTTTATGACCAATATTTGTGTTTACTCCATTGCATAGTAACTCAAATGAAGTGGTGAAATAAGAGAGTAGCCTCAAGCGCAGTTGAGCTTTTCATTGAGATCTTTATTCTTGTTTGTGTATATTGTCTATACTACATTGTTTTTTCCTACATTGCATTTCATCTGCAATCATATATTTACTGTGTTTTATTTTGTTATTAATCTCAAACACCCCTTCTGGCGTTTCAAAAATGTATTGCATGCGAGACGCAGCATAAATAATACATGATGAATAACCAAAGTGATGCAGAGGAATTATTTAATTGCTATTTTTGTTGTTGTTGTTTTTTACAGGAGATTACTTACGAATTTATATTCGAGGTCAAGAAAGCAGGACCTATGCACGGGTTTGCGGCGTGGTTCAGCACAGAATTTAAGTGCCCCGACTCCAACCCTTCCATAATTTTGGACACAGGACCCATGACCACGTAAGCCTGCCTGACATTTCTGCCTTGTTCCCATCATCATTAGCCACTGATAAATCCACTGCTGGATGAAGGCCTTTCCAATCCGACCCACCGCATGATCCTTCGATGGCATTATCCATTTGCAATATACACTTATGCCTGCAAACATTAATACAATGTAAACCTATTGTGGTAACTTGGAACTCAATAACATAATTTTCCGTGTAATGTTTAAAAAAAAAAGTTTCAAGCTATGCTTTCTATTTAATTCCAACATCATGATCCATTATCTATCCACTGCCTGATGACAGCCATTGAACAACTTCGCCATCCCTGCTGGTCCTGCAATCCCGTATTTCATCTCATTCCCTGTGGAAACGTTTACCATGGCGCACTGTGTATTTATTTTAGAGCGAGTCGACTTGTTTTCGGCCTCTGGTGTTGTGGGCTGCGACCGAGAAGTGAACTTGTGTGTAGCCTACATATCAGCTTCTCTGCACTAAACACGAAACCCACCACCGCGTGCACATGAACGGCAGTAATTTAATTCTAGATTTGAAGTTTTCGTGACTGCAAAGATCCATACTCTTTGGTTCCTTCGGTAAAGTCACGTAGGTGAGAAAATAAATAAATTAAATCACGACGTTTCGGAAGCAACACAAGCCTCCGTCATCAGGTAGGACAGCCGCAGCAAGAAATAATTTGCTGGAGTGGACAAGAGCGCCAGTAATTGAACTAATTCCAGGGTATAGGAAGTCGTAAATAATAAAGGTAGTTTCTTTTGTACGATGCGATGGACCAGACATAAAGCAACAATGAGCCCATGTGCCTGAATGGCATTAAGGTGTAATCATTATTATCATAATGACACACAACGAGACGCACAATGTCATTCGTTTGAGTCTTTTAAAATAAATGATGAAAATTCGTTTTTAAATATGTAATAGCACTGTAGTTGCTGGGAAAAATATTTTAATAACTGGTCATGGTTTCAATATATCATTGTCATTTAAGAGGTGACCAGGAATAAGGATTTGTATTCAGGCGCTCACGCCAAATAACACGTTCCTTCGGAGTGGGCAGGTAGGAACTTGGTTGGACAGGGCATTCGTGCACAACAGACAAATAATCCCTGGTCGGCAGTGTGGAAGCTGTTGTTCCTACCTGTATAAGTGTAGTGTATCGTGTCGTGTATAGTGTAGTGTGTAGGTTAAACGTTGAGTTTTATAAGGGCACCACGGAGTGACCAGCCCCACCCCTCACCCGGGTACAGCACAGGCGATCGGCAAGCCACACACGATGGGGATTAAGTGTGGGTTCTCCCACCTCGTCAGCATAATGCATTTTATTTATATATCGCTTTTTCTCACGCTCAAAGCACTAAACAGTAAAACGTATTCAAATATTATGCATACTAAAAAAATCTTATTACATGAAAAAAAACACTGGCATGTGTATAAAACATCATAGCAGCATAGAGCATTCAAGGGACGGAATATACTAGGTGGGAGAGTTGAGGGAATTGAAGATAGATTGTAAGAAAAGCTAGATTGCAAGACCTTTTTAACAGATGAGTTTTTTAAATTGAGATTTGAAGGTGGAAATTGACTCAGCAGATCTTATCTCAATGGGCAGTGTGTTCCATAGCCTAGAAGAAATTGAGAGGGCCCTATCACCAATTAAGTGGAGTTTGGTGGGAGGCACGAGTTTATGGGTGTCAGAGTATCGTAGGGCGCGGGCCGGGGTGTAATGGTGAAGACGAAGACCAAAAAAAACCCTCAGAGGGCTCTCTAAAGCTTCCTCAAGTGGAGGAATTTTCACCAGCAGTGGCATAAACAAGCACTTTCAAGACAGTACCCTTTACCTTCACGTGTTTTTAAATCCTTTATATTAAGTTCGCTTGCTTGCTTGCATGCATGCTTGCTTGCGTGCTTGCTTGCTTACGACCGTGCAAATCTTTCGGTCGTTTTTTAACCCACTTCCCGTGATCCAATCGAGCTGACATTTTCCACACAGACTCGTTGTGCGTGACAATTAATGTTCGTTAAAAAAAAATTCCAAAATTTTACACTGTTTAGGGAAAACAAAATAAATATTTAATTACCAATTGCTTAATACTGGCAATCATCTGAACCCATAGGTGGCAGCCATCTCAAGCCAGAGGACGAAAAGACTCTAGCCGCCACGCATATAAAGGATTTATAGTGAAAAACTTTGTTTTTACGGGTTTACTTGTTGTTGTTGCCTTCCCCACTCTGCGTGTGTGAATTCTCCGGTAGCGCCACACACTGGAAGCAAACTCTCTTCATGTTGGACTCCCCCGTGGCAGGTGACTCCTGGAGACGTCGTGGCGGGCAGTGTCGCGCTGCGGAGGAACCCAGTCTGGAGACGGCACATGAGCGTGGCTTTCCGGTGGCGAGTCGCCCCGTCCGCGGATGCCCCCGATGCCATCGGCGTACGTTAACAATATTGAAGATAGTCGTCAACTTAAATTTGTAACCGACGCAGTTTCTGTTCACTATCGAATGAAAGAGAGAATGAATGAGAGGCGTGGGAAACCACAGGCAAGCTGGAAGACAGCCAGAACCCAGCTCCAAACAATTTGTCAAAGCCGTGGTCCTATATGTGGGAGAAAACTAGAGTACCCAGAGATAACGCACGTGTGCAAGGGAGCAGGTTTCTCATCAATGGGGAGGGGGGGGTGATAAGCGACTGGTTAGTGGAGGTGTGTAATGATTCTCAATTAATTGGGGTAAGTCAGTGGAGAGTGCAAAGGCCCACATTAAAAAATTGTCCACAAATAGGAAAAATAATAAAAGGGCCTTAAAAATTGTGGTATATTTATTGAAATAAATACTTTAAACCCTTTACTAAATATTATTTGAAATACAAACTTTTTATGGACTTTGAAATCAACTAAACTAAATATTTTTTATTTTATTTTACCAGATAAAACCTACCGAGCTATTGTCAGAAGCAACCTGGCCACATGATAGCTCAACTGAAGTGGCTCATCACGTGGATATTTATAGCAGCCAAATACTCTCAGCACCAAAAATGAAATGCTGTTCAAGGTGGACTATCTGTACAACTTACTGCTGTATAGGTTTTCGCAATTGTTTATACTGCTCTCTCGTGTGTCCGTTGAGTTGTACCATGTGTATTGTTCTGCACGATGTCCAATGTTTTGCTTAAGCTCCTAGCCCCGTGCAGCGAAACGTCAAAACATAATGCCATAACAAGATGCGGCACAACCTGAAAACAAACCGGATAGCTATCAAAACAAGTTGTCGGCTATGTTGATGTTTAATGGTCCTTTGTATTAGAAAATATGTCATTTACAGGATTGCTTGGCTTTATGCTTAACTGACTACATCTCATAATATAGGTTTTTGGGTCAGATCGCGTTATTTACAATGTGTCGTAACCCTCCACCACCCGACACGGCCAAACAGTAAAAAATGTGTCACGTTTTTCAAAGGACAAAATAATTCACTTCTTTAGCCCACCGGTGTGCTGTAGAGGGAATCAACAGCATTTTAAAATTTGAGTAGCACGACGTTTCGCTGACAATTACAATCAGCTTCATCGGGCAAGAATGGTGAAGCTCTCCTGTTGCTTCCGGTCTTAAATAGAGCAGCATCAGGGTGACGTCATTTAATTTAATCCAATCTGGTGCAGTGATTCGAGGCAAAGAGGGGGGGGAGGGTATTGTGATTATACATGGGTAATCATTCAATTGTTATTCTTTTCAGGAGGGCGAGAAGACCTTTCCTCTGTGGCGCTGAAGAGCACGGTATTCAACGAAAAATTCCAGTTGCACAGTTCACCCCACACATTCACCTTGTTGCTCTTGAATAATAATCTGCACAATTTTTACACCTCTCCGTCGTTTTGTTTATTACAAATCTGAAGAATGTGACTGCTCATTGTGTTTATGTATTTTATTATGAGATCAGCCGTGTGTTTTGTCAATTTATATTTTAAATTATTATCGTGTAATTCGCAACCTCCATAATATAGCACAACTTATTTCGGAAGGATGAAACGAAGATGATCTGTTGTGTTTTCATTGCTCTAGAAAGTTGTGCGTTGTGTTGACGAACGTAAATATGCATTAGTTTGATATATGTCACTAATCGACTTGTATGTCAATCTCGTCATTTAGTTTACAGGTGCTATTTGTGTAACACGCAACTAAAATACAATGCCCACAATAAAGTTTTTTTAAAATCTGCTACGGTTGTATTTTCCACTTATCTTTGAAGCTCATAATTCTGCAAGTTGTTGACAGCAGTAAAATTATGTATCATTTGCAATGCAAGAAATGTGATCCAAGGTAAATTTGCAGTTGCTTGCGTAGGCAACTGCATGCAGAAGGGCCTCCGACAAGAGAACACTCTTAAGCCCACGCTCTGGAGGGTACATGGCCTACTCTTCCACGCTTGTCAGATGTGTTGGAAGAGGTACCCACACTTGACCCCACCACCACACACAGCACGTGCTTGGTGCTTAAGATTTAACGCAAATTTTAGTTTTACACGTGTATATAAATGTAGGTGTTGACTGTCATCCATTATGCTAAATTACAAAATAGCCGCATGCAAAGTATGACAAGTGTAAACGAAGCTACCTTATTCAATGCTTTAAATAGATACTTTGCTGATAATACAAAGATATACATAATTCCTGTAACAGTGATTATATTCACACTGGCATTCTTTTTCAGTACAAAAAGAGCATATCCGAACAATTTACACAAACATTGTCAACAAATGACTGTCTCCTTGGGATGCGTTCCTAATTTTTGGATTAATCTAACAAAATCCAAAAATTTAGCTGAAAACTTTCAGATGATCTGGAAAAAAATTGTAGGACTACGGTAATCCGATCAAATGACGTTACAAGTAACAATGACATCACATCCATGCTGTTCCCACCAAAAGTGGCGTCACATTGCATCAGGTAACAATGACATCACATCCACGCTGTTCCCACCAAAAGTGGTGTCACATTGCATCAGGTGATGTCACTTTGTTCGCCCAAAAATACATTAAATTAACATCCCAATGATTTTCAACCGAAACTCATCCACTACCCTCTACTCACCCAAGCATACATCCATCATAAACCAATATACATGATAAACTTAGACATTCATAATAGTTTAAATCCTATGCACCGCAACAAACCCATTTCGTACCATCCACACAGCCACAAAGCGTCACTGCACGGGGCTCGACAGGCTGTCGAACGGAGTCTGCTGCGACTCTTGCTGCGGCTCTTGCTGCGACTCTTGCTGCTGCTGCTGCTGGGACTCCTGCAACTGCTGCTCATGCCTGCTGGCTCATCCAGCAGAAGACCAGGCTGGCCACGAGCGTCGCCAGCATAAGCCCCGCACATATGGTGAAGACGTCGCGGGGGCCCGTGCGCACGTCTGCGTCGTGCAGCGCGAGCAGCCCGAGGCACGTGAACGTGTTCAGCGGCACACGCAGCCATCCCAGTACCCCCGCCTGGCTCTTCTCCGGTATGACCTGTGGGTAGCGTCGGGACACTTGTCATCGTCGTCACGACTTAATATATAAATACAGCGCCTCTTGTACAGGACTTCTTGAAGCGCCCCGCGGCAGGGGACAACTGGCGGCAGGTTGGCAGCTGTCCCTGTGACGCACAGGGATGGATGCAAAAGTGGGCCTGCAAGTGAGCATTCGTCTGCCAGTAGGGGGCCATGTTATGTCGCTTCCCAATTACTCTAAGTAATTTATGAGTCGTTTATTTGGACGATGACGGCCACACACACATGGTCTATTTTTCTAATAACTCCACGGGATCTTTAACAACCACCGTGAAACTTATGGCAGTGAAGTAATCAAGCTGATAATAAGAGTATTCAATTGCTTAAATAATTGGATATCCTAACTTTTAAAATGAGTAAATGTATTATTTCCTTAAAAGTCTCCCCAAGTATTGCTGGTCTAGCATTGGGGTGTTTTGTTAATGCCATTAATAAATATTTGACATGGGGAATAAAACCCATGAACACAAAAGGGTACCACTTAAATCTCTAAATTGATTCAAAACCCTCGTTGCTCAAGCCTACAACACGTATTCCCATTCAGTCTCCAATCAATGTACTTACTAGACTCAACCCTGCTTTGCTTCGGAGATCTCAAGATTGGGTGCATTCAGAGAAGGGCATTATGCCTGTCAAAAATATATTCAAAGACTAACCGTTACTGACCAGATTCCTCTTTTGACAAGAAAAATAAATAAATGGAGTCATGTCAATTGGACCTTATCTGACGGAAGGACGTGAGCTGTATATTTAACAGGTATGATTGACAGCTATGATGCTTTTAATATGAAATGCTATCAATCATTTATCACTGTTACCATCCATTTTATATAGTGCCTCTCCAGTATACTGTGCCCGCCAGCACAATGCTCACCCTGCAATTCAAATGCAGTAACTATTGGACAAATCCTAGCATGGGCGCTTTGGCAAACCTAGGCAGATCGATATAAACTCCATATTGCCAATTGGACATTTAACCCTGCGATGGCAGAGGCATATTACTACAGACTTTGAATTAACAGCATGAATACGAAAGGTTCCTTGCATGGAAACGGAAATGCTGTGGTTACATAAATGGTGACAACAAAAACATGCGGTGGAGTGGTGGTACAGTGGTTAGCGTGCTGCGCTATCAGCCTGGTGACTCGAGGTCAATTCCCAGGCACAGCTAACATAAGTGCCGAGCGATAACAAAACCGGGCCTGCTCTCCCCCATGCTTCTCCCACACTGACCAGCATGGTGAAGTACGGTCAAATATTCCCCATGACTGACAGAGTGTGGGGGAAGGATTCATTCAATGGTTAAGAATGTCTGTAAATTGATGTAATAATTATAATAAAAACAAATAAGACGAGCATAGATGATTAGAGGGGTGGGAGCGAGGAGGAATGGGTCAGACAGTAGTAGGGTTTAGACAGTTCGCCTATGCATACGTGGTTGATCGTGTACAGTCGAATTGTGAAATAAAACCAAATCATGAGTATATTTTGTATTCACGCCATTCGTATAGCACAAAGCTATAAAATCTTTCACGAAAGGGCTGCAGTAGTTTAGCGGTAGGGGGCGATGATTGCTAGGCATCATTCCAATCAATTGCGAGTAGACTGCTGAACGAATACATTATAAGGTTGCACTCATTTCACCCCAAGTGCTTGCCACAAATAAACCACAATACCTTGCTGATCTTGTCAATGAGCATAAACCATCATGCAAACTCTGGTCATCTTTGCAGCAGGTTTTGCTTAACCATCAAACAAAGATGGACACTACATCGTTCACTTTCAGATGCGCTTCTGTGGCCGTCTGGAACGTTCTTCCTTGCAATGTTAGAAAGCCAATGAGCTATGCACTTAAAAAAATCTCGACTGAAAACTAATTTCTTTTCAAATGCTTTTTGTGTTTAGTTTGTTATCCTTTCTCCGCACCTCCGATTAGCACAGTTGGCAACTGCACGGTGTGAAAGAAGTTCAGCACAGACACGTACATAACGTGTACAAACCTTGCTACGCAGGAAAGCAACGGCTGGGAAGTAGACGCCGACCGCGAACTCGAAAGCCAGGAAAGCCAGTAAGGAGCGGTAGGGACTAGCGTTGGGGGGAGCCGTGCTCCACACCAGCTGCACGAATGCGCCGAGCGCAAGTGCCACGGAGAGCAGCAGCGCGTGCGTGGGCTGCACGAGCGGGCGAGAGGGCGATGTGGCGAGGCGGTAGAGCGACGAGCCGGCGAGGCTGGCCAGCATGAAGGAGGAGAAGGCTATGCCGAGGGGCGCGTTCCAAGGGTCCAGCACGGGAGTCCACAGGAACACGAACATATAGACGGTACTCTCGAACAGGGCCTGTGGGTAGTGTTTCAAGCGACTGGATGTAAGCATTTATACTACGTAACGTATTCTAGTTCTTCTTATATTACATGATACAATTACATATATAAATTGGCATTGTTGCCATGTTGTAATGGCACCCTGAACTTGCAATCCAATGGTCCGCCGGTCCATCTCACTTTGCTGCAGTTGAAAATTTGGGAAGTTGCCTACACCCCCCCACCCACATCTGTCTATCCAGTAATATAAACGGGTGAGCCACGGTTATTTGATCGGGAAGTTGTGCGTGGTGGGGGTACTTTAACCTCTTCCAAGACGTCTGTCCAGCATAAAAGAATAATAGCCCGATTCTCCTCCAGAGGGGACCCTTTAGAACTTTCTCTAGTGGAGGCCCTTATACCAGCAGCAGCACGAGCAAGCAATTGCAAGGGCTACACCTTAACCTTTGACTCCGATGAATGTCGCCACAATACCTGTATAGCCGCAAGCAGCAGCACTTTGCGGTCGGACAGCAGGCATTGCAGTCCCTCAATGCAGCTCCTCTTCAGCCCAACCTTGGTCGTGCTGCGATTTTCATCCCAGCGCCAGATGATCAGCGCCCCCGAGACAGCCAGGAAGGGGACAGCAAGCACGAACGGGGCCACCGGCCCAAAGTCCAGCGTCTCCGCGGCCAAGTTGGCTACGACGCCCGCCACGGCCGCAATGGCCCCGTTCCACAGGGCCACCTCGGCCAGAGTTCCATCCACCCACTCTGCTGGGAAGTCGTGAATCTGCCTGTGCTCGTGCTGATACCAGGTCTGCGCTTGGGGAAAACGAGAGAGGCAAGGGAGGCAAAATGAATGTGTTAGCTGCAAGCGGGGTTATACGAGTGGGCAGTTTCAAGGTGATTAAATGTCTTTTGGACGGGGTGTAAGACGTGGAGTGCAGAGGTGGCACAGTATTGTTATCGCACACTTTGCTCTCAAATTCTGCAACTTAAGATCATTCCCAGCCAGGGCAAAACGTCAGTTGCGAGCGATTTCCATACCAGTCCTGGACCCCCCCCCCACCCCCTTCAAAATCCGCACGAATCTAAAGTGTAGTCAAAACAACCCCATAACTGACATGGTGTGGAGAAGCCTTCATCAATTGTCAGATTGAGAATGGCTGGGAGTAACTATACATCCCATTCATAGGTATGCCCTGCTCCTCACTGTGTAAAGTTTTGGTGGATCTTACGAACTGGCCAATGGCGGGTTATGCTGGGCCAGGCTGGAGACTTTATTGACCTGTAGTAGGATTGTTATGTGCAAATACAAAATGTGTTATCAACTATTGTCTACCTAACGATTAAGGCTTCCCCACAGAGTTGCAATACCTCAAGGTCCTGTGATGCCACAATCCATCGAGCCCCTGCATACGGATTGATCTCATGGTTCCATATCCACAGTGACTTTTGCTATCATTCCATCACCGGACTCAACCACGCGCCATCACACCTAGCAAGATCTGCCCCGCTCAAGCCCACTTACTTTCACTTACTTTCAACATGATGCACCCGCTGTGCGTTGGGAGTGCATTTATTTGCTTACATAAACTGGATGCAAATTGTGCATTCATTTTAAATCAATCCATCAATTATTTGAAGCAAGAATCGAAGGTATTCGTCAAGATTCTAACATGGCATTTTGATCCACATTTGTCTGCGTAAAAGCAATCACTCTTTTGTGGGTTTCACCAACAAAAGTTACAGCGCACGTGGTAGGTAGGCAGTCGGAATGTTGCACCTCATGGGCTGTGAAGAGGAGGGCGGTGGAGATCCCACCCAGGATTCGGGCCACGAGCAGTACAAAGTAGCCGCGCGACAGCTTCAGGAGGCAGCTGGCGGCGCAGAGCAGCGAGAAGAGGACGCACGACGTGCGCCGGCCGCCCAATCGCTCGGCGAGCGTGCCGACAAACGGCGCCAGCAGCAGGCCCGCCGCGAAGCCGCACACGTACAGCACGGCGATCTGCGGCTCCAGGAAGCCATAGTGGCTGTAGAGCTTGTACAGGTAGGGCCCTGTCCGACGACACACAATGCTCAGTGTGGCCGACATGTATGATTGTGTCATGACAATGGAGCCTCAATGCGGTGTGAGAGGACGAGTGGCCACAGGAGGTAATGACAGGGAAGTCAGCCTACAGTACAAATGCACTAGTGGCCACGGGAGGTGATGACAGGGGTATCGGTTGTGAGTGCGAAGGGACTGGTGGCTACGGGAATGTTCGAGAAGGGAGCGTGGTCAGGTGACGGAAGAGGACGGTGGAGTCTGCCGGTCGTGTCTGCCGATAGAGCGAGCGTCCAGGGTCAGCGAGAATGATCGAGAAGGGGGGGCGTGGCCTCATTTTATACATAAGGGAGATGCGCGGGAGACTCGGGGCCATTGCAGTCGGGTCTCTGCCTGATGTCAAGTGAACGTGTCTTTAATAAAGTGCCATCTCAACAGAAGTGTGTCGAGTCATCATGACAATTGTATGAGGAGATTCTTTTGCGTCGTATGTAGCCAACCGTGCAAATCGGAGGTGCGGGGAAGGACAACAAATTAAACGCAAAATTCGGTTTTAAAGAAGTGAGTTTTCAAACTAGATTTAAAAGTACCAACTGTACACAAGGCTGGAGGGAATTTGTGAAGCTACAAAATAAGGTTGCCACAACGTTTTTCACGACACAAGTTTCACAAAACGACAATTACATACAACGTACATGAGTAGAAAATATAACATTTACACAATTTTTGAGTAACAATACATCTTAACATGCCTAACTCTTAAGCGGTTAATTGTCAAAACAATGTCATATACAGTTCGTATAACATTATGTAGTATCGCAATATCGCGGCAACCCTACTACAGAGGTTTTGTACAAACAAGTGGATAAAGATTCCTATTATTGGCTTGCACCGTCATGTAAGCCAAATGCACTTCATAATTGCAACAGGCAGCTTCCTCGAGTTAATCCGATGAAAGAAAATGTATTAAGCACTCTCCTGGAACGTTGTCAGTTATATATATAAAAAAATTAACAATGTTCCGTTACACCGTACAAAAATAAATAAAATGTCATAACCATTTGCAAATGGACTTTCTGAACCAATGTTCAACAGGCCTCAGTTTCGTGCTGGGTTTTTGCCTATAAAATCCAGTAAACCAGCAGTTTGACAGTCCACAAACATCTGACAATACTCTAAAAGGGTAATATGGTCCAGAGTTTGCCTCCTTGAACAAAATTGCACTTGAAAACCTTGCTTCAGCAAGGTTAATTTGCTGACAGACTTAAATATTTAGTTTATGGTGGTGAATCGGACCCATTTCTTTTTACTTACTGTTACTTGACACATAAAATGTCTTTATTGTGCCTATTATAGCAGCCTCATGAATGTTTTAATATTTCCAATAACCACAGTCCCCTGAAAGTAATCAAATTAAATCAGAAAATCGACATGGCTAACAAACAAATAAATCACGGCGGCTGTTTAGTTCCCTGGTCTGTTTTCAGGCTGTGCTCGTGTTGTTCAGCACGACGTCTGACGTTAAGCTTTGCATGTCGCGGAGCTTCTTCATTAACTGAGCTCAGAAAAAAGCTCCCAGCGCAATATCGGACATCATGCCGCACAACACAAGGCGCAACCGTAAAACACATCTTTTACTCAGTTCCTGAAGAGGCTCCCAGCACGTGAAGCGAAACATCAGACATATTTCAAAAATATAATCGGCGCTCAAACCTGAAAAGACATCAAACGACCGTCACAACCTGCAAGGGGGCTTTACCTTGCAGCCAGTCGGCGGCGAGAGCCAGAAAGTAAGGGGCATAGAAGTGCAGTTGGAAGCTCCTGTACGTTGGGTTTCGCACGGCATCTGTTCCCAGCCGGGCTCGGGATGCCAGCCATGCCAGGGCCAAGGAGGCGGCGCACAGAAGAACGAAGGCAGCGTAGGTGGCCCCAAGCATCTTTACTCTGCTGTGGATGTGCTTGGCAGCTGATCGCTCATTCCGTCACCTGTTGGGAAGAAGATGGGAGGCAAACTGATGTCATTACTCATGCAACAGATAAGCAATGTCTTCTTCATATGTCTGTCTCTCCGTGTAAAGAATAAAAGTATTTAGACGCTGTCTCCTCGACAGACCTGTTCTCCACCTGAGGACGGCTGCTTGCGTTGTGGCCGTAACGTCGTGAGAATTATTTTATGTTTTATTATTTTATTATTTCCATTCTACGTGACTTTACCGAAAGAACCAAGAAGATGAATAAAAGTATTTTTCACACAATGGTGTAAGTGGTTAAATTGCATTGTTATAAGATGACTTTCGTAGTGGTTACTGGTAGTAACAATAACTATTTGTCACTACTGAAACTATTAGTATAGGACAGTTACTAATGATATCTGAACCAGTCCTGGGTTGCTTGCTCCCTTCACCAACCCACACTGACCACTATGGTGAAGTATGGTCAAACAACCCCCATCCTGGGGTGACTGATATCGATAGGACTGTCAATTATATTACACCAACAGGTGAACGTCATTACAGTAACATTAACCTTGATTTGACCCAATTGTTAAATCCTCTTGAGACATGCATCTATTGCTAAAAACCAACACAACGGCAAAAAATTTCAACGGTAACGTAATCACAGAACCAATGTTAATTATGCATGGCCACATTCTCCGGTTTATAAGATGCTCCGGAAAGTAAGAGGCACATCCCGATCTTGCGCCCCGTGTCAATACAGTCACGCAAATCTGGTGACACGTGCAAGAGAGAGACAAAGACCCCCCGTATAGCCTCAACTGACTGTTGGGGCAAGTGCTGTTAGCGAGCAGCACCTATGAAGGCCGGCACAACACACGAGGGGGTGGGTGGCCAGCACCACGCCCGGACGCCTTTGTCTCCCCAGTTGGCGAGGTTTTTACACACCGCACCAAGGTATTAATTTGAGACTGAGTCGACCTAGGGGAGGCCCAGGACCGGTTCTGATAATCGTGGCTGGTGTTGGTGGCCGTCAGTGGGAATCGAACCCCGGTACGTAGCGCGGTGCGCTCACCGCTGTGCCACCGCTCTCCACAACATCAACATCCGCTATTCGCCACTATGTGGCGCTGCCGTCACCGCCGAGCTTGTGCCAGGCTACGTGCACGTTAAGGTCACTATACACGTACACACACCGGATTATAAGACGCATCTTAAATTTAGCTTTAAATACTTGGCGGGGGGTGGGGTAGCGTCTTATAATCCTTAAACTGCATCACCAGAATTATAACAAACAAAATAACCACTGCCCTTGTATGGCAAAAAAAATAAGAATTGGGTTTTTACCCTTTCTGGCAATAAAACAGGAGTTGTGATAAGATGTTCCAACACCAAAATAGATTAAACCTTTGGCAAGGAATCAGGTTCATATTCTAGATTTAAAAAAAAATATTGCTGTGGTTGTCACACCTGATGATGATTGCTTGTGTAACAATCGAAACGGCGTAATTTAAGTTATTTATTACTTAATTTATTTTCACCTACGTGACTTTACCGAAAGAACCAAAGAGTAAGGAATCAGTTACTGCTGCATTAACCGCACGTGGTACTTGCGGTGAACATGCAAATAAAACATGATCTGATCATATCTGGGCATTGTCTTTGATACTGGTAAAAAAAATAAGCAACATTAAAAAAAACTTTTTTTTAAACACGCTTTTACTGAAATGTACCCTACTAGTAATGGAAGAACTCCACACGACTCCAGGAAGTGGCCCCGAAGCTTGCCATAACGTAAGGGAACAGAGTTAATAGAAAGCGTGTAAAAATGTTTTAAAAAATATATATTTTAATTATTTTGATAGAATATGGTATTGTCATCAGTATGGCATAAGTATACCAAGTTTGCAGTCGATACCACATTGGGAAGTGGGTTAAATTGAGTTACAATATTTGAAGATATGCAAACAACAGACAGAGTGAGTTAATAGAAAGCGTGTAAAAAGATTGTTTAAAAATATATATTTTAATTATTTTTATAGAATATAGTATTGTCATCAGTATGACATAAGTATACGAAGTTTGCAGTCGATACCACATTGGGAACTGGGTTAAAATTGAGTTACAATATTTGAGGATACAACAGAGTGAGTTAATAGAAAGCGTGTAAAAAAATTGTTTAAAAAAAATTTGATAGAATATGGCATTGTCATCAGTATGACATAAGTATGCGAAGTTTACAGTCGATACCACATTGGGAAGTGGGTTATAATTGAGTTGCAAGATTTGAAGATACGACAACAACAAAGTGAGTTAAATAAAAGCGTGTAAAAAATATAAAAAGGTCCCGTTTTGTATCCACTGCCCTTGACATATTTCCAAGCACAAAGAACCATACCATGCACAATGAAAGCACACTGCAGTGCTGCGACATGGCATACAATAAGGCTGTATTGTATTATTGAGGCAAGTCAAATATAGAGGCTGTGTGATGTACATTAGGAAAAGTAAACGCTGGATATAGGCACACATTATTCGAGCACTTTTCTGATATAAGCAACGCATTCTTTGATTCGACTTGTCGTTGTTGGGTAATGCAACATGTACTTCTGATAACAAGCACGATATTTACAGTAGTTACAGTACTTCGATATAAGCACATGTGCGCGTCTCCCAAGGTGGGTGTGCTTATAACCGGCTAAAGCTTCGCACACGGGAAGTACAGGCCACGGACACCAATAAGCACAAGCGAATTGGGAGTCAAATTTCACGCCGCAATGCAGTCAACGAGACGATAACATACATCCTCGATGTGAAACGCATCAACAGGACACGCGTGCAATATGACGAGGCGACGTTCCAGGCAATGGCCCTCGTTCATTGCCACTACAAAAAAAATGATGCTTTCGTCGACATGGCATTGTTATTGCCACGATCGGGGTTATTTTGAAATCCTTTATATTAAGTTCGCTTGCTTGCGTGCTTGCGTGCTTGCATGCTTGCTTGCTTACGACCGTGCAAATCTTTCGGTCGTTTTTAACCCACTTCCCGTGATCCAATCGAGCTGACATTTTGCACACAGACTCGTTGTGCGAGACAATTAATGTTCGTGAAAATTTTTTTTCCGAAATTTTACACTGTTTAGGGAAAACAAATTAAATATTTAATTACCAATTGCTTAATACTGGCAGACAATCATCTGACCCATAGGTGGCAGCCATCTCAAGCCAGAGGACGAGAGGACTCTAGCCGCCACGCATATAAAGGATTTAGAGTGAAAAACTTTGTTTTTACGGGTTATACTTATTGTTCCGTGAGCAACAACGATTTATCGAACTCGCCATCACACATGGAAGCGCTTTAACATTGGGCGGTCTGTCCCCACATCGTAAACGCACCTTACTGCAGCCGTGTAACGCCACTCTGTAAACGTGTCGTTAAGCGTCCGTGTCAGCCTTCAACTGGCCTTTGCAGGACCAAACATCATTAATATGATCACTACTACTACCACCCGACACGACCCGGCGGCATTCGTTTTCAGACGGTGACACTGAACCACGTTGACTCTTCACGAAGCCCCCTTCACTCTTCACGAAGCCCCCTTCACTTGCAGGGACTACCAAAGCCAAAGGGCCCCCCCCCCCCCCTTATAGACTGCAACAGAACGTTGTGGCAAGTGCCGCTAGAGAACAGCGTCTTTGAAGGGTCGACACGGCACACGAGGGTAGGCCAACACGATTCCCGGCCGCCTTTGTCTTCCCAGTGGCGATGTTAGCCGCACAGCGCAACCGGGTCACTCACCTCGGATCCAACTCTGACCCCACCAGCACCAGCTGCAGCAGCATCAGCAGGAGCTACTTCCTGCTTCCGTGCGCTCGTCCAATCAGGAGACCACACGGGCAGAGGCAGTGACCAATCACAGGGCTCTCTGTGTGCGTGCGTGCGTGTGTTGACATTGGGGAGCGGTGGCGCATCGGTTAGCGCCCTGCGCTGCCTGCCACTTGCGAGTTCGATTCCCACTGACGGAGAACAACCGGCGACGATTGTGTGAACCGGGCTCGGGCCTCCCCTAGGTCGACTCGGTCTTGAGCGAGTAGAGGAGTTGGTGCGATGTGGAAATGTCGTCGCTTTCCTCCTCCACAACCCTATCTATGTATGTGCAAAATGGTACCTGTCAACCCCTGAAATAGTGCCTATCTTATTACAGACCAATTCAGACAGAATTGGTTACCCTGTGCCCTTATAAATCTCCACGGTTATCCTACAAAGTCCCATCATGAAGGAGAAACAAACGAATAGACAAAACAATATTTTTTTGCCCGTATTGAAACAGCTTTACGCCGTATGGACCTGAAAACTATATTTCCCTGTACAAGAATACTAGTATGAAAAATGCACATTACTATCCGATGGGCACATCCCCTACGTAAAATAGACGTGCAACCCAAAGTGCGGACCATTTAGTAAAACCGTAACAACTGCAATGTCACATTCAGGCGGTGAAGCCAGATCATCGCTGTGATGTCTCCTCGTATTTGTGGATCTGGAATTGCGTCGATATATGTTGCACGCTCTGTTCTGGGTGGTCACAGTCGCACAATGGAGAGTTTTCAATGTTCCATTTATGCATCAGGTATCCGCATCTACTGTTATGGTTTGTGCGGATTCGGTCTAGGATGGATACCAAAAGAACCAAAGAAGATGTAAGATCAAATTTCAGGAATCCTTTAGAGACTAATTGAGATACATAGATATTCAGTACGTTAAAGGCAAGCCACAGTAACTATATATTTTTTATTTTACCAGGTAATTGCCCACTGAGCTATACAGCTTTTTTCAGAAGCAACCTGGCCACAAATGATAAACCAACAAAGTGGCACGTGGAAATTCATAGGAGGCAAATACCCTAAACACATGTTTCGAAATGTGGAAAGGAAAAACCTGAGGACTCGGAGAAAAATCCACTCGACCACGAGTCTGGATCGAACTTATATGCTCCTGCGTACCAGACAAGGTGAGATAACGTCTCGCCACCGTGGCGCACAGGAGTGCAATTGTGGCCATGTAACCCAAACGATGGATGTCCGTAATCAACGTTTTTGGGTTAGATCGCGTTATTTATAAATGTGTCGTAACCCTCCACCACCCGACACGGCCAATCAGTAAAAAAGTGTCACGTTGACAAAAGACAAATAGTTCACTGTTTTAGCCCACCGGTGTGTTGAAGCGTGAAACCACAACACTTACAATTTTTGAGTACGACGTTTCGCTGGTAATTGCATCCAGTATCATGGCGAATTGCCCCATGTGCAAGAATATAATGACTATCTTCACGCTTGTTTTCTCAAGAAAAGGAGAGTCCTCCCAAGTTTTCGCTGCTGTGTATTATCCTAATTAAGTAATTGTTTTGTCCAATGCCAGTTATGGGTTTTTGTTCGTTATTTATGGGAGGAAACCAGATAAGCCGGAGGAAACCCATGCAAAACAGGGCGAGAACATACAAACTTCACACACAAGTTGGGAATCGAACCCAGGTATATGGCCCGTTTGTGAATTTACTGCTGGATGGAGGCCTCCTTCCCCACGCCGTGCCGGTCAAGGGGATTATTTGACTATACTTCACCACTCTAATCAGTGCGTATTGGAAGGCCTAACCATAACCAATACATACGCATAACGTCGACTGTAATAGCGTGTATTACTACTAAAAGTGTATAAACAAAATATTGTGTACAGCAGTGGGGATAAGATTGGTGCCAAAAATATACACTAGGTGGCGACTTTGCGCTAATAGACTGCTGTATTCGCTAATAGACAATTACATTAATAACTTCTTATCATTTAAGAACAACTTAAAAAACACCTTCAACTTTTAAAGTTCAAGTTGATCATCGTTAAAGCTTAAATTAAAAAAATACTGACTCTAAGTGGGGTTAAATTTCGATTTAAAGCGTTCGTGACTGCAGGGATTCTTCTTCTTGGTTCTTTCGGTAAAGTCACGTAGAAGGAAAATAATAAGCAGCCGTCTTCAGGTGGAGAGCAGGTCAACTTGACAGACCTGTTCTCCACCTGAAGACGGCTGCTTGCGTTGTGGCCGAAACGTCGTGAGAATTATTTTATTATGTTTTATTTTTATTATTTTATTATTTTACGTGACTTTACCGAAAGAACCAAGAAGATCTAAGTGGGGTGTTTGACAAGGCCATATCTGACTAAAAGGCTCTTAAATATATATTTAATAAATTAAAATATTCTGCGCTCCAGTGATTACATGAAATGTCTTACATTTTCTCTAAATCACTGTGAGCAACAGCACTAACATTGAGTGTACGTGACCGTTTTTTTTACTTAACTTAAAATTTCTGATGAGGATTCTGCAAAGAGGCTCCATCCGTTTCACCTTCATTCAATGGACTTGTATATTTTCTTTGCACGTTTGCTATCACATGTGTCACTCTAACACGCTGCTACTCATGCGCGGACATTCTGTACATTCTGTACAGCTTGCACCACACTTCAGCAGAATCCCTACATTTCACACGGTGGTAGTTCTATTCTGCTTTGCATAATGGAAAAATGTTCAGAAGTTAGATGTCCACGTCGAGCCTAGCCACGGACGACGAGAGGTCTTCTGGAGAGAGAGAGAGTTCGTGTGTAGTTTTTGATACTGCTCCGTTGAAAGAGCGCATATTACAGTGGTTTACGATACTGAATGGCTCATAGTATGGGTTTCATGGCCACAATTCGCACTGCTGTGGCTTGTCTTAATTTTTTTTATTTATAAAGGAGATGTGCGCATCGACCCGTTGATGTTCTGATATGGTTGATGGTCACACCAGCAAGCGTCTGCGAGGAATGTCAAAGCCAGGATATGTGAGTTTTGGGTTTCAAATGAGGCGTTTATTCTGGACTTCTATGTTTTTTCCACTCCGTCCGTCAGCGTTCTTTCGGATCTGGGTGAAATTCTAGGATGGTGATAATGCGATCTCAGAAGGGACATCAGGACTTGAGTCAACGGTGAGGTGCATTGCAACTCTCGAGATGAAATCAACGGTGTATATGTATATATGTATTTGCTTATTTATTTCAAAAGCACACAAACTTGATTGACCTCATTCCTACACCTGCACTTTGTAGATTAATTGTGATTCCACGGAGGGCTCTCGCCTACCATGTGACTCGAACGTGATTGGGTTTTTGTGTGTGTTCGTTCACGGGCCCGTAAAAATTGCGTTTTTTTTTTTTATTAAGCACAATGGTTAATGCCGCGCCTGGACGAATACGATAGGATTGGCTCTGCTTTTAAGAGAAAGGATGCGGACAGGCAGACAGGCAGGCAGGCAGCCAGACAGCCCGCACACCAAAAGCCCAGCAGGAGGTCTGCCCCACGGCCCCACGGCCCAGGCAACTGGCAAAGATAATCACGGCGCAAAACCAGGGTGGGTCAGGAGGGCCCACCACCACCCCACATTCTCTCTCTCCCCATCAAGGACGCGCGCGCGCGCGCAAGAGGCGAAGAAGAAGCAGCAGCCAGATTGCTGCAAGCGCCGGTCCTCTCGCGATTTGAGGCTCGTTCTAATTTGCTGCCTAATTAAGATACCACAGCCTGCGTCGCCACACCGCGCCGCTGCAATGTTTACCGGAATAGGCGAGCGTATATTTGTTGGGCTTGTGTGTTTGGCAATTGCTGTATTGAAAATTGTTGGGGGGGTGGGGGGGGTTTAAAAATATATAAATGTGGTGGACGCATACAGATTGACAAATGCTGTACATGGAAATTATGCTGTTTGGAACAAATCATTTTGAGTTTTTTTTTAATCCAGTATTTATTTATATAGTGATGTTGTTATTACGATGTTGTAAATTGTGCTCACAAAACACACCACACATACACATAATGTGCAATATGTTTATTGTATGCTGACATACATCATTAAATGGCGTGTATGGAATTGTAATCACGGCTAAGGTGGAGACAGATTAATTATGTAAGACCCCTCTTCAATACGCATACAATCGTCATTCAGCCAGTTGTGCCGTCTAATATTGTACATTCATTGTTTTTTTGCAAATGCAACGTGAGCCTATTTAGACAACAGTGGCACAGTTGCAGTGTGTGTGTGCGCGCGCATGCAGAAAGGTGCATTTTATTTATTTATTTGCTGAGCAGAATGTGTTTCAGATTGAATCCGAATTTCAAATTGCAAATCGCTAGGGGACCTCCACATGAAAACGAGCCCAGAGGTTATTTCTGACAGATTAGGAATAATCTCCTACACTATTCTGCCCTACCAATTAAGCACGCCGCGCAGCAAATGCGCTTATCGAAGGGACTGCGCGTGTCACTTTGGTTACTTTAAATTATGGCAGTTTGTGTCTTTTGGCTTCTCTTTGGCTAAAGCTGTCTGTAGCTGAATGCCCAGACATGCCGAGTGAGAGCTCATAATACAGCTCAGTCTGTCCGAAGAAGATTCTTCGCTAAATCCGTACCGAATTCAAGCAGCTACTCTGGGCCCAAGGTGATGTACCCTAATTAAAAGTCAAGTGCAAAAGCATTATGTTTGCTTTACGTTTCATGTAG